TATTTAAAAATGAAATAACGTTGAGACGAAACAGATAATTATCCATTTAATTTCATTTTCATACCAAAATGGAACATTAGTGAAGGTGCCACAAAAAATTAATTTATGTGCTCTTTCAACAAGTGAAATACTAATAGCTGGACAGCCGTATAAAGTTATAAATGCTATATTTCATTATGGTTCACGTATCGAAAACGATCATTTTATAAGTATGTATAGAGAAGGTTCACCTTGGATTGAAGCTGATGATATACAAGTTACAAAAAAACAATGGTCTAGAGCTGCTAAAAACATTTCTACATTATTTTTAGAAAATGTTGATAATAAATAATATGTATTTCATACGGGCCATAGTCTATTTAGAAAATCTGTCACTGCCACAAAATATACAATGAGCACATGCGCAGCAGACGCTTTCGTGCTCTATGGCCACAAGTTACTTGCTGTAGTACACAGGGTACGAAATTTGAACTAAATAGCACACACTAAATATGATAAGCTTTCTTAATTTGGTCAAAGAAATTACTCAATGCTTAAGTTGTAAATAAATAATTTAAAGCTGTGGTCATAAATAGGTGATCAGAAACACACGATGTCCCACTTAGTGACCTAATCAAAAGTTACTAAAATTTTCCCTCGAGCATACGTCAAATATTTTCGGTTTATTCGTACAAATGCAACTCACACTTGTCCATAAACATATAGAGATGAGTTATAGTATTAATTGTTTTCTTTTCAAAAAGAGGAGCAATATTTAATGTTATGACTAATTTTTTTGAGACGGTCACAAATGGAAATATGTGTGTTTTGTTGTACCTATTTGTTACATTTATCTATATGTTCAAATTACTAACCTTTTTTAGAATCCACGCATAGCACAATATTTATTAAGTATTCACTGACACTTTTATGAAAAAACTATATTCTTCAACGTTTTATCCCGGACGACATAACAAAAATGTGACTGTTCCGTGACAAACGCCGTCTACTAACATAGCGACAAACATGTGCTCAATTTGCCACTGATGGAGACACGAGCACCTTATTTCACATTTTCATGAATATTTGTTAGTCAAATATCACTGAAATCATATATCAAACCATGGCTAACTAATCGTTAAACGTGATAAATATTCTTTGCGAAGATAAATTACTTAAGACTTCTGATTAATTTAATAAAAGTCCACGAGTGGTCACAAATAGGGGCATTTACCTTATCGGTTTTATGAAACAAAATAGCAGTTTAAATTATTTCAACTTGAAAGAATTTCATAACAAGTCTATGCAATTTTTAGTTTTATCGCCGCTTCGTAATGATGGCTGTTTATTGTTGTCGCCTAAAGTAGAATACGATAATAACATTTGAATAACATATATATATTATATATGTGTATATATATTGTGTATATATATGTATGTGTATGTTCGTAATGCTCTTAGCAGTACATGATACGCTATGTTCGGATTCGGTACATGAATCACAAAATCATAAAATGCAAAGATTCTCTCGTCATGTCGATCGAGATTATTTCACAAAATCTCAAAATAGATGTGTCGCTATGCGGCACTTTGAGCGAAACGCGATGATTCACGCGTGACCCATCTTCTTCAAGATTATACTGATGTTCTTGGCGCGAAAGTGCGGAATGGTACTTACTTCCTTTCTACGTACACTTTAACCATTAACGTTCGTTTTTTTATTAATACCAACAATAAATACATAAAATGTTCAGAAAACTGATGCACATTAATTGTGATATATAAAATATATATTATACTTTAAAAATACGTATCGTTAATGCGTATAAATTATACGAGAGTACCGAATAGCATACAAGTATTACAATCGGTGCGTGTTTCGCTCCGATTCGTCGATAAAACGTTAATGATTAGATGGAATCATGCTCATTGCTTATAAATAGAAGACTACACAATTATTTGTAGTTTGTATCCAAGTTTATAAAATATCTACGAAATCTTTAAGGTAAAAAAAATTTTTTCAAAGTTTCCTGAATAATATTAAAAATATCCAAAAGACAGAATTCACATCGTTATGAGAAGATCTCCTACGTTGTTAGCTTGATTGATGTACGTGCATATGTTTTTAAAATATGGTGTGTAGCGACACTAGTTCGAAACAAGCGCAGTGCACAGACGATGTGCTCTTGCAGAGTCGCAATCCTGTTCGTGTGGCTAAACTTGGCTGATGCTACATACATACAACGAGAATATAATTTCTACCGCCAAATTCCAGCAAGAAAGAAAGAATAAACGTATTGAATAAACTGAGACGGAAACTAGAGAGAAAGAGAAGAGAGAGCGAGAGAGAGAGAGAGAGAGAGAGAGAGAGAAAGAGAGAAAGAGAACGACGAGATTGCGTAAATCTTGAAACATACATACAATAAGTACGTCATAAATAAAAAAAAATAATACTGAGAAGAAGAAAAATTTAAAAATTTGTACATATTGTATTTTACAAAGAAGCGCAAAGAAATAAAGAGGCGCAAAAAAGGATAAGAAAAAAGAATGCTCTTATTGTACGCATTCAAGTTTGAGAATCTAGAATATTTAATTTTACAGAGAGGAACAACGAAAGAGAGAGACGTTGAGGGCAATAATGTGGAGATGCGTGACTGTCAGAGAGCGTAAGAACGCTGCGTGAGGCGTCGTCTACAATACACGGAGTAAGAAGTAAGAGTAAGAAATTGACCAATCACAGTCGAATGTGAGAAGAATAATCGACTGTGATTGGTCAATTTCTTACTCTTACTTCTTACTCCGTGTATTGTAGACGGGCCTTGAGACTTTACTACTGCTTTACCGCTCTATTCGATAAAATTGTATAAAATAACTACCAATAAAAAGCGAGCAAATTATTGTTTTCTATATTTTATATTTTTCTAATGTAAGGCATCCTTTCTTCAACCTTAATCAGCGGTTATCAGAAAAATAAACAACAACATGTGTAATTTGTGAAATAAAAATTAAAAAGCAAAAAAAATGGTACAATGTATTTATCACACATCATATGATATTTACATATTGAATAATTCTTTTCTCTCCCCTTCCATTTTCGTTTCTGTACATCATAAAACATAAAAAATTATTGAATCTTTTTGAATATGTCGAGTTGATTCGTACACCCTATATTCCTCTTGTTCCTTCCAAACAATTTCCACACGTATTGAACGTCGGAGCGTTCAAACGTCCCCACCCTGGAGGCGTCATGCGACACCCTCACCATCTTCTTATGCTTTAGCCGAGAGAGCGTCAAGTCGTAACCCGTCCAATTCGCATTCGACCGACGTCTTGGTTTAAAGAATCACGGGGACAAGACTTTTGACGATGACTTGATTTCTACCGACTGATTGAACTGAGCCGCGGTTACCAGCAAAACTGCGCGTTTTGCAAAATAAAGCGAGACAAGTGCGAGTGATTTGCTTCAAATTCGTCGTTGTGCATCAAGAGTTTGTTTGTTAAATCTCAGGTGACCAAACACAACGTTGAGAGAGAAGAAAGGAAATCTTTTCAGATATTCCTCAGATTAATTAGCAGTTTACTACCAATAAGTCATATAATTGGCCACAATTTTGCCATCCGAACGACTCACGACTCACGATTATTGAATTTCTTGATCCAAGATGAAGCGACAACAATTTCAAGAATCGCAGACGCAACAACAGCAGCAACGAGCTATCGTGCAAGAACAACAACAACAACAGTACATTCAGCAACGAACGGAAAGACAAGTCACACGACAACAGATCACCAGTCAGCAGAGAGGTCAGTTGTGATAATTGAAAAATCACAAAATAATATTTTTGAGCAACAACTTATTGAATATGAAGAATTTAAACAAGAAGCACGGAACAAAAAATTTATCTTGACAAATTCAAGATTTATTGCATATTAATAAATTTATGAAATTACATTTCACAATTTATAAAATTACATTTCACAATTTAATTGCTCTAGATACACATTGCGAGTTCTTGTAGTTAGCAGTGCATATTTTCATAATATTTACTTTTTTTAAATTTTTTTATACCGAAAGAGACGCGAAAATAAATTCAATCTAGTTTTAATATATCTCTTCTGGTAGATATCCCGTCAACGAATACGTGTTCTATTTCTGTGCAAGGAGCACCGTCCGTGCGAGAGCTCTAAAGATAGTTCTCCACACTTTAGACATGATCGTTTCAAAAATTCTTTCACATGTGCTGTTGGAAAAATATGGTATCGCTTTACGTATTAGGCCTGTTTTTTTTCACTGAACTTTTGCACCAGTTCATCTTTCTTCCTTTCCTCTCCAGGAGGAAAGAAGAGGAAGAAAGATGAACTGGTGCAAAAGTTAAGCCAAAAAAAAACAGGTCTATTGTATCAAGATAAAAGTACTTTACAATTTTCTTTTATTAATAATTTACTTTGAAAATGTCAATTCTAACGAGTAGAAAGTTTCCCTGTTGTTTTAAAGACAAAATCAAAGAGTTTTTATATTTAATTCAAAATACTGCTGAGGCTAATCTTATTATACACCACATTTAATTTATTTATTTGAAAAGAGATGTTACATATGTTTGCAACTTAATCATTCATATCAAGATAAAATCCATTAATATTATATTAATTTATCTTTGTTTAAGAGTTCCTTCCTCTTAGAAATAAAAAAATGTTGTTTGGTTTTGTAAAATAAAATAAAATAAAATAAAACAAATTATAAAATAAAAGTTAATTTGAAATTATTTCCTTAAAATAAAAAAAATTTGTATTTTATAACGTATTATTATAGTACATTGCTAAATGTTCTAATAAACGTGATATTGGGAAAACTGATCCAAATTTAGTTCCAAATTTACTTTAAAAATGTTTACTTGTGTCTATTTAATTTATTGCAAAGTTTTATGAAAACTAAACACAATACTAAATTAAAAAAAAAACAAAATATAAATTATTTGTTGTAATATTATATTTAATTATTATCTATAACATCTAAAAAAGTAAAACAGAAGATTATATTTACTTAACATTTTTTTAATGTTAGTTTTTTTTTAATAATTAATAGTAATATTTTAGTTTTTTACGAAAACAATATAAATGATTCCATAGAAAACTTTAATTCTGGAAACTCTTCTAGAAATCTGGAGAATATATTATGTATGACGTATGCATTTAAATATTCCGTATTATACATTATCTCGTAAATAAATTTTTTATTATATATAAAATTGTATTTACATTTCTGTTTTCCAAAATAGCTTCACTGAAGCGCGTATGCCAACTGCGTTATATGTTGAAGAATTGAAGAATACATGAACGTGTTATAGAGAGTGCTGTCAAATAACACTGACAGATATATAAATCTTACTTACATCGATGTGCATCGAAACGTGTTGGATTATATTACAGGCGTAAAACTAAAAGACAATGAGAGAGAGAGAGAGAAAAGTACAGTAAGCAACTCCGTTACGCTAGTAGTTAAAGCGTCTTTTACGAACGCAAAGAAGGAATTAATATTTAACATCGAAAAATCTCTTTAGAAATTTTTGCAAAAAATGTATTGTTATATAAAATATTAAAAATATTAAAAATTTTAAGCAATAATTATATCTTATATAACAATATTTGTAAATATTTCTAATAGAACATTAAATAAATATATGCATATATATATTTATATATACACAATATAAATATATTATACACATATAACACTATAAACTCTAAAATTGAATGCAATAAAACATATGCAATAATTTGTTTTTATAAATGTATTTATTTTATTATGCAAAACTTTTGTAAAAGTCAGCTAATTGTTCTCTAATATTTACCATAAATTTAATAGAACTTTAAAAACAGCTGATTCTAGTATATGTCTTGACATCAAGCTCGGTCATCGATCAAAAAGAACGAGAGAATGGTAAAAATAAGTTAAAAAAGGAAAGAATAAGAAAAAGGGAAGCAAGATGATTGAAATTAAAAAATTCAATATACGAATATAAAATATACAAATCTTACACAAAACGTACGCAGATATGAGACGAAGAGAAATGTTGGACTCGGTTTTATTTTGGTCAGTGACGGCTTTTGCGTAACGGAAAGCGCGATTGGTCCATGGACGGCGTAGACGCATCGCGTCGCGACTCGTCGCGGTGCGCAGCGCTGAGCAAAGATAGTTGTGCCTAAAATGGCTCATGGTAACGTGATCCCTATCCAAATGCAAAAATACAATCCTGTGCTTGTAGCAGCACATTACGTCTTTCGTCCCCTCCGTAACTCGCAAATCGTGAAATAAACGATGCTAAATGTCGCGATATCACATACAATGAGAGAAATGATTAATTTTATAATTAGACAATTAATCCACAGACTTAATAAATTAATTAAGGAAAGTCTATATATATCAAATTTTACATTCAAATATGTAGAAAATATAAATGTAGTATTTTATATATATACAAAACAATCAATCAATGGCTAGTCTTTGTCTTTTATACATAGATTGAATTATTAAATCTTATTTCTGAAATGAAGAAGATAACCTATAGAAATATTTGTAAACATAAAAATTTCAATTAATATCCTTATCTTTTTACGTTATAATATATTTAAATCTATCCTTTTATATTTTATGTCATCATGTAGATTTTATTTAGCTACTGATTATCTTCTAAAATTTATTCGTTTATTGCTCGAGCAAAACTGTACATGATCACATTTAAATCACCATGTGTGTACATCTTTCTTCCTCGTATAATTTTTGTCGTACTTTCCAATTAGGGTAGAACGAATCGAGGAAACGAACCGTTTACAAGCTGTTATTTTCCTGTCGCCGTTACGCGCGATGACGATGCCGCATTTTTTCATCAAATTATGTCTACATCGGGACGCATTGTAATTTAAATCAATTTACTCGTTAGCCTGAGAACGAACCATTGCGAAAATATATGGAAGTTTACAATCCTTCCATTGGGGAGGGGGAATTGAATTTAATTCCTGATAAAGTAGATTAATTTTTATGTTTAATATTATTTACATTAATATTATTTCTAATTATACATATAGAAAGAAATTAATTTTTATTTATTTCTTTTATTTCTGTGCAGTTCAAGGAGAGGTCGTTATGCAAACGACGCCAACGGTACCAGTGTAAGTATTACAACATTCATCAATTATAGGATTGTTGTAGTTATAAGAGAAATATAGCTATCGTTAATAATATTTTTAACATGATCTCATTAAATTATTGGCAGATTTACGGGTAAACTCGGGGATCCCTCACCACCAATTTTCGAGCGAATCTTTAAAAATGCGAGATTCGCGCAAGGTGGTAACGCGATTTTTGAAGGTTGTGTTCGAGGTAATCCGAGACCATCGGTTTCTTGGACACACAAAGGAATGCCACTGCTAGAATCACAAAAGATTCGAATGTCTTATAATGAAAATTCTGGAATTGTTACACTCCAAATTAATCAGATCGGTCCGGGGGACGAGGGCGAGTACACATGCAGTGCAAAGAACCAATATGGTAGAGATTTTTTTTCTGTGGTTTCCACTTAAAATACATATTCTTTAAATATTTTGTTCTTCTGTTGGAATCAACGTTAGAACACAAAACAAATGGAAAAAGCATGTTACATATTTCCTCCACTTTTCAGGCGAAGCTATTTGCTCAGTTTACATACAGCCAGAGGGATTTGGTCCTCCAGCGCAACAGCTAACAGATAGTTACAAGAAAGAATTTTCGCAAAGTTTTCAGACTAGCGACCAGAAAATGCAAAGTGGAAGTCAAATCTTTCAACAACGCAATTATCAACAAACAACCGATAAACGAAGTTACGTTAATGGCACAACTACAAGCATTGAAGATTTTAAGGTACTACAGCTAAACACTTGATATATGCTGCTTTGATAAAATAACAATATAAGAATGCTTAAAATAATATTACTTACTTTTAAATGCGCAGGTTGATACCTTTGAATATAGATTGTTGCGCGAATTGGAGTTCCGTGAATCAATTACTCGCCGTTTTGCGAATGAATTCGACTTGCAAATTTCTAAGGTAGTTGATCGTACCCTGGGCCCGGTCGCACCTCCACAAATTACTCAGAAACCGAGAAACTCGAAGATCGTTGAAGGATCGGATGCTGTCTTTACCGCAAAGATAACTGGCAATCCGAAACCAAGAGTAAGTTCAAGTTGCATTGAAAGAACTGAAATATCAAAGAAATTTACAATACATTTTGCTCTTCAATGCTATATATATATACATATATATATATATATAATTATTTTTATAATTATTTTCTCTAAGTCGTATTTCTATGTCATCTGCTATCATTAAACGAGATATTTAATTGTTCATGAAATACCTAACGTATAAGCTTATTAACTTAGTATATGCTAAATTGTTGTAGTTAACATGGTTCAAAAATGGTCAGAGAATTCGAGATTCTCAACGACTAGAGACGAGTTACTCAAATCAGCAGGCTACTTTACGAATTCGAGTCGCTCTGCCAGAAGACAGCGGTCATTATACATTATTGTCTGAGAATCCTCAAGGTTGTACCGTTAGCTCCGCTTATCTAGCAATTGAATCTAGTGATCAAGTAGATCAAGTTCCGTATCAAGCGCATCAAAGGGAATTTAAGACTCAACAAATAGATTCTACCAATGAATCTGTTGATTCTAGCAAGGTTCTGCCACCGAATTTCGTTCGTACCATCACAGATAAGGAAGCTACCGAAGGCAAAATGATGCGGTACGTTTTGATTTGTTTTATTTTTAGTATCTTTCCAGCTTTTCTTTCGCTCTTACATATAATTTTCGATGAGTAGTGTTTATGATATTAACACGAGATATTAACAAACAACATATTTCAGATTCGACTGTCGCGTAACTGGCCGTCCATATCCTGAAGTCACTTGGTATATAAATGGTCAACAAGTCGCCAATGACATAACTCATAAAATCCTTGTAAATGAATCTGGTAACAATTCATTAATGATCACGAATGTGAACCGCGCCGACGCTGGCGTAGTAACGTGCATTGCGCGGAATAAAGCCGGCGAAACTTCTTGTCAATGTAATTTAAGCGTTATCGAAAAAGAACAGGTAGTTGCGCCGAAATTTGTCGAACGTTTTGTTACAACGGAAGTAAAGGAAGGAGAACCTGTGATCTTTATGGCACGTGCAGTGGGCACGCCCATTCCACGAATCACATGGCAAAAAGTATAATAATTTATTTGAATTTTATCTGCTTATATAATCACAATTTCCTTGACATCAAAAATTTTTGCAGGATGGCGTACCAATAACGCATAGTTCCGAAATGCGTATATCGAGTGATGGTAACGGAGCTTCGACCTTAGATATCCCATGCGCCAAATTTTCAGATGCAGCCTGGTATCAGTGTACAGCGCAAAATGTAGCCGGCTCCACCGCAACTCGAGCACGGCTCTTTGTAGAAACGCCAAAAGGAACGACCCCGGAACCAAGACGTCTGAATTTACCCCGACCAACGAAAGTCATCGAACCAGAGTGAGAGACTTCTCAAGTGTTCATCAAATTAGCAAATTAACATTGATCTTTCCATGTTTTATTTTATATCCCCATTGAAGCGCAGATAAAACGTAGAGTCAGAACTTTATACTATTCAGAAAATTAACTTTTATTTTCTTTAGCAAAAAGTCTATTGTGAGATAAACTGAATAATAAATATTTATGAGATAAACTGAATAATAAATATTTGCAGACCAGCGCCTGGCCCCGAAGTGATTTACCTGAGACATGTGGAACGCGTGAAACCTTATTTGCCGCCTCCTGAAGAAGACAAAATTTATCTCCCGCCACGTTTCATTATACCGCTAAAGGACGTTCATCAAATCGAAGGTGGACGAATTCACTTCGAGGCCAGAATCGAACCGGTGGGCGACCCCACTATGAGGGTGGAGTGGTATGTCAACGGCAGAACACTCGACGCAAGTGAGTAAAAAACTTTTACATCTAATTTTTTTATTCAACAGAGCATTATCGAGTCAACCGATTTGTATTGGCGTATCTTTCACAGGTTCCCGGGCGACTTCCGTCTTTCGCTTCGGTTTTATTTCACTCGATCTCATTAGCATCGTTCTTCAAGATAGCGGCGAGTATTTGTGCCGCGTTGTAAGCTCGACCGGAATTGCCGATTCTCGAGCCACCCTCAGTGTAACCCGTGAGTAAAGAATATTTTATAGATTTCTCTTGCGACAAATTATTATCTCTGCACAATATAATTATATTCTATATAATTATAAATTATTTCTTTTCTTCAGCACGTGCCACGATTGAACAAGCAAGCCAACACCCCGACAGCCTCCAATACATTCAGCAGCTCGAGGATTACAGCAAGTATCAAAGACAGGAGAGCGTGGAGGAGACCTCTTCACAGCGGCCGGTTTTCATCCGCCCGCTCCAAGATCTTGGTGAGCTACAGGAAGGTCGTAATGCCCATTTCGAGGCGCAATTGACACCTGTTAGCGATCCTACCATGAAAGTGGAGTGGTACAAGGATGGAAAACCAATCACAGCGAGTGAGTATTAATATATTTAAAAAACCGATATTTTAATAGTTTAAAAAAAATATTATGAAAAAAACTATATAACTATTTATTAGGCTCAAGAATTACTAGCATCTTCAACTTCGGATACGTCTCACTCAATATAATGCACCTACGGGCTGAAGATGCAGGTTCTTACACTGTCAGAGCTGTGAATCGCTTGGGAGAGGCCATCAGCTCCGCGACTCTTCGTGTCTTTGGTGAGTTTTAATTTTGTAACGGATAATTATTCTCAAACAGATGTTCCTCAAATAATTTTTTTTTAATAGTCTCGAATATTGATGTCTTAATTATTGTGTAGCGCGAACAAGCGTAACAACAGACTTGGGTATTCCCGAACAACTGAGATACATAGAGGCTGCCGAGGAATTGGAAGCATATCAACAAGCGATGCACCAAAAGTATGTGCAGGAGCAGCCTGAACCGAGTAGCCCACCGGAATTTAAATCGCCTATTAAGGATCAAAGCGGCATACGAGAAGGTGGATTCGCTCATTTTGAAGCGCGTCTCGAACCAATTGGTGATGCCGATCTCCGCGTTGAGTGGCTGAAAGATGGACGACCTATAGAAGCTAGTGAGTAATACATAATTCTTTTCACCGAAACATATATCATATATTTGTATTCACGGAATATTTTCGGGATTAGGTTCTCGGATTACAACTTTTTTCAATTTCGGTTACGTGGCATTGACCATCAAATACGTAACGATACACGATGTTGGCGTGTATACTTGCCGAGCTTACAACAAAGCCGGTGAGGCTCATACTACCGCTCAATTAAGTGTGATCAGCAAAAATGATGTTATTTATGACAGCCAGCATCCTACTGGTCTCCAAAAAATTCAGTCTCTCGAAGATTCGAGTAGATATTCGCGACAGATTCAAGAAGAAACGCAGATTACGCAAGCACCACGATTTTTAGGTAATCTTAAAGGTACCAACAAGATCGTAGAAGGTCAACGGGCGCATTTTGAGGCACGCGTTGAACCTCAAAGTGATCTGAATATGAAGATCGAGTGGTACCACAATGGCAAACCTATTACTGCCGCTAATAGAATTCAAACGTACCACGATTTCGGATACGTTTCCATTGATATTCTTCAAGTTCGTCCTGAAGATGCTGGTACATACACCGTTGTGGCTAAAAACTCCCGTGGAGAAGCTCGTTTATCTGCCACCATGACCGTAGAAAGTAAGATTTTACTATTTTATTTATGCAGTATTGAAGCAATTTGCAAAAAACTAAACAATTATTGAGCTTTGTTGATTCTTCGTTTTAGCGCGTTCCAGTATAGATACCAGCAGCATGCATCGCGGAACTTATGAAAAAACTCAACGTTTAGAAGAATCCAAATTTGTTGAGCCGCAGTATCATATCGAGGAGATCTCTAAATCAAAACCAATTTTTATCCAGCCGTTGAGTGATCCTAAGCCAGTTAGCGAAGGCAAAAATATTCACTTGGAGTGTCGTTTGGAACCGATGGGTGATCCTACAATGAGAGTTGAATGGTTCCAAAACGGACGTCCGGTCACAGTCGGTTCTAGATTCAGAACTTACTACGATTTCGGATTTGTCGCACTCGATATAGTACACACTACTGTTTACGATTCTGGCGAATATACAGTCAGAGCTACTAATCATCTGGGTACCGCACATACTTCTGCTTGCGTCAGAATTATCGGAAGGTCTGACATCGTCACTGAAACACAAAATGAACAATCACTTGAGCAGATACAGATGTTGGAAGATACATCAAGGTTTTGCTTTTATTTATTGCCTTGTAATTCATATATCTTTCCATGATTATTTGTCTTATTTATTATTTCATTCGTGTATAGATATCGCAAAACTCAACACGAAGATGTCACGGTGATGCAAGCACCTCAGTTCACCCGACCTTTGCACAATATTGAGACGGTAGAATTGACCAATGTCCATCTCGAATGTCGCCTTCAACCAATTGGTGATGTTACTATGAAAGTCGATTGGTTCGTTAATGGTCGACCGGTTAAAACTGGTCACCGATTTAGACCATCTTACGAATTTGATTATGTGGCTCTAGATATTCTCGGCGTTTACCCTGAAGATTCTGGTGTATATACCTGTCAAGCTAGAAATCAGCTCGGTGAAGCAGTTACTTCGTGTTCTGTAAGAGTACACGCCAAGAAAGATTTACTTCTAGAGTCTCAACATCCCGAAGGATTGGAAAGAATACAGTACTTGGAGGATGCGTCACGATACAAAAGGCATGAATTAGTGGATGAAGTCGTCACTGTAAAGCCGAAATTTATTACAAAACCAAAAAATCAAGAAAATCTTCGAGAAGGACAACATGCACATTTCGAATGCAAATTGGAGCCGGTAACGGATCCGAATTTAAAAGTCGAGTGGTTTAAAAATGGTCATCCAGTAACGATAGGTAATTTATTGTTTCTTCTGCAATAGTAACATACATACGCAAACGAATCATATATTATCTAACTACATTTATCTTTTCTCAAATCTAAATGTTCAATTCGCATCCATAAAATTATATTTAATCTTATGCAAATCAATTTACAGGACACCGTTTTCGTCCAATTCACGATTTTGGTTACGTTGCATTGGACGTAATTGATTTGATTGCCGAGGATTCTGGAACGTACACTTGTCGTGCTGTTAATCTGGTAGGAAATGACGAAGTACTCTGTACTTTAACGTGTCGCTCGAGCGCACAAATATTAACGGACACGCAAAACGAGCTTGGACTTGAACAGATTCACTATCTTGAGGATAAATCCAAATATCAAAGACAAGAAGTTATTGAAGAAACTACCACTCAGGCACCTATTTTCACAACTTCATTAAATAATGTCGAGATAAAAGAGGGCCAGCGAGCACATTTTGAATGTAGATTAATTCCAGTGTCCGATGCAACAATGAAAATCGAATGGTTCCATAATAATAAACCAGTGAAAGCAGGCTCGAGATTCATTGAAACAAACAATTTTGGTTTCGTTGCTCTCGATATTATGTACGCGTACGCCGAAGACTCTGGCACATATACTTGCAGAGCTAAAAATATTATTGGTGAAGCCATCACTTCTGCAACCGCTGTCGTTCACTGTAAGATTCGTCACTTAAAGATTTATTCGATAATTTTTTCCAGTATCAATAGCATTAATTTTCACTATTTTTCATCCATAGCTAAAAAGTCAATCTACACAGAGACTCAGAGCGAAGAAACTCTTCAACGTCTTCACTCGTTGGAGGACACATCTCGTTATCAACGTAAAGCTACAACCGAGGAAATTATTACGCAAGCTCCTGTATTTACGATGCCGATAAAAGATCTTCGTGTTGCTGAGAATCAAGCAGCACACTTCGAAGCACGTGTTATTCCAGTTGGAGATCCTAAACTCAAAGTAGAATGGCTACGTAATGGAGTTCCTATTTCAGCCTGTAAGCCTAATATTTTGTGAATTTATAATTTATGTAATATGAAAGTATATCAGAATTATTTTTTAAATATTTTTTTAACAATTTTTAACTTTTCAAAAGCAAATCGAGTAACGACCATGCACGATTTTGGATATGTCGCTTTAAATATGAAGTATGTCAATCCCGAAGATTCAGGCACTTATACGTGTCGTGCTGCAAACGAACTTGGAGAAGCAGTTACTTCAGCAACATTGTTCGTTCAATGTAAGTATATCGTGTTAACTTAACGCACAACTCAAGTATATATTTACGAAAACGTACGTTTCACACAATCTGCAAATTAATTTTAGGATAATCGATAATACTTATTTTTTGTAAATTTGATAGATTATCCCGATATTAATTAACATTATTAACATTTACTTTAATTATATCATTAAACTGAAATGATGTATGAAATTTTATACCGACTTGCCACGTAACTACCAATATTACATTAAAAAAAAATGTTATTCTGACTTTATTGGTTTGATGTATTATTGTTAAACTTATTTGTTACTATTTACAAATAAGTATTGCGTATTTACTCGATGTATTACGAGTCTACTGAAAACTTTAGTTGTTTCATGGAATACATTCAACATGTATGATTTCTTTTGACGATTCGTACAATGCGCTATGTTAAAAATTCTTACAAAATGCAGCCAAGGCAGCGTTGCAGTTCGAATCACAACATGAGGGCGCTTTATCGAAACTTCAAGCCCTGGAGGATACTACGAAATATCAACGTCGTGAGGAAGAGGAAATTGTGGTAAAAGATAAGCCATCCTTTACGGTACAACTGAACGGACCTACCAATTTAGTCGAAGGACAAAGCGCACATTATGAGTGTCGCATAGAACCTTACCCTGATCCCAACATGAAAGTGGAATGGTTTCACAATGGCAAACCATTATCCACTGGTCACAGATACAGAACTACTTGTGATTTTGGATTTGCATCGTTGGATGTATTGACCGTATATGCCGAAGATTCGGGCACTTATGCTTGTCAAGCCACTAATAAATTGGGATCGGCGAAGAGCTCGATTAATCTTGACGTGAAGTGTGAGTAATACACGAGGACATTTGCGTGATAACGTAGCTCGGATTAGTCGATTTTATTATGTATGTAGCATGTGTGCAGCATTTTTTTTAATTGTTAACTTTAATTTACACATTATATTTTATTATTCTTTACCTTCATGACAATTCAAGTTTTCTCTTCTTTATATCTCTCTTTACATTAATTTAAATAAAAATCTCTTTCTAGCTCGAGCATCAATTATTCATGACACGCAACATGAGAGCGCATTGAAAAAAATACAATATCTTGAAGATGATTCAAGATATAAACGAGTGATCGAAGAAGATACGATCATCGCTGAGAAGCCCACTTTCGGACGACCATTGAAAAATATTGAGCATCTTCCAGAAGGCAAAAACGCTCATCTCGAAGCTACATTGACTCCCGTGAATGATCCGACAATGATTGTCGAATGGTTTAGAAATGGACGTCCTATTCCTCAAGGACATAAATTTAAAACAACTTATGATTTTGGATTCGTCGCTCTTGATATTCTCTATGCTTATCCTGAAGATTCTGGTACCTATATGTGTAAAGCAAGAAACGTTGTAGGCGAAGCGATCACTACTTGCGTGATCAGTGTGGATTGTAAGTAATATTTTATATTTATACTATAATATATTCTCATAAACTATATTTAGTATGATCACCGTATATTCATTAAATAATGTCCTTTTTTCATGGACTTTCAAAATAAACGAAAGAATATGAGATAAAGCGAGATAATTTTTCATATGTTTACTTTGCAAATTTACAAGTGCGAATGAAATTTTATATAACTTGTTATTTACAATGCTTTTAATTATTAAAAGTGTAAATATATGACTTACTAATTGTTTTGATTTAAATAGCAAAACAAGGCTTATGTCTTGATACGTTGGATGCACAACGTTTGCAAAAAATTCGAGAGCTGGAAACTGTCGAAGTTAAAGAAGAAATTGAAAAAGAGGTTATTCATCAGAAACCTGTATTCTTGACACCGTTGAACAATCTGGATCATCTCAACGAAGGCGAACACGCTCATTTAGAATGTCGTGTGGAGCCGATTAACGATCCAAACTTAAAAATCGAATGGTATACTCAATATACAATACATACCACACATACACATATATATATGTGTATATACACACACGCACACACACACACACAAAACGATATAATGATGACTTTAATACAATGCTGAATAATTCCTTGATTGAATTCTCTTTAATTTCATAGGTTTGTTAATGGAGTTGCGATTAAAACTGGTCATCGCTTCCGTACAACACATGATTTTGGTTATGTCGCTCTTGATATTCTTTATACCTATCCTGAAGATTCCGGTACTTATATGTGTAAAGCAACCAACCTAGTTGGCGAAGCCGTTAATACTTGTACTATCAAAGTCAGCTGTACGTATCTACAATATCATGCTACATGTTAAATCGAGATATTTGTACATGTTAGTTTTATGCTAACTATTCTACGTAATTGTTAGCAAAAAATACACTCTATCCGAAGTCTAATTTTTCACCAGTGAAGAACTCGATAAAACGTTCATACAAACAGCGATACAATTTATGAACAAAAAAAGACCATTTGTCAGATGGATAGTGGCAATACCTCTGTAAAGAAGATTTTCTTTAAAGTCTATAAACTCTTGCAAACTCAAACAAGTTGTGTCTTGCAAACGATATAAAAATATTAACTTTAAAAAAATCATTAATCATATTACATGATATTTCAAGAAACATCGAATCGATTCTAACTCTTTGGATCAAGATTGATCGTAAAATCAGATTTATTTTATTTAAAAAAATAACCAAATAATTATATCTTTTTTTATCATAGCACGACGGAGTATTCTTTTGGATACCCAACATCCGGATGGTTTAGAAAAAATTCGAGAATTAGAGTCTCAGGGTCATCCTGCACGATTAGAAATTGAGGAACCGCCAGTAACACCACCGAGATTTGTCTCTGAGCTTAGGGTAAATAATAATAACAGTATGAATAATAATAATGAGAATGATAAAAAAACAACTTATATAAATTACTGATGCCTGTTATTGTGGCAAATATATAAAGCTCAATAAATGAAGCAAAGGAAGTGAATACGAAAAATTCTTTTAGGGTACAACTGAAGTATATGAGGGGCAAACAGCTCACTTTGAGTGTCAAGTAGAGCCTCTACATGACGCAAATCTAAGAATCGAATTCTTTCACAATGGTAAACCATTACCATCGGCAGCGCGTTTCCATGTGACTTTCGATTTTGGATATGTAGCTTTGGACATTGGCCATACTGTACCCGAAGATGCAGGACAATATTCCGTACGAGCGATTAACGCGTTAGGACAATGCGTATCATCAATCGAGCTTAAAGTAATCCCACGAGATAACATTATTCTGGATTCTCAACGGCCGGAGGGAATGGATAAAATCAAGGAGCTCGAAGCCCAACAACCATGGAAGAGACCAGAGATTCCAGAGCCTCAAACTCGACAGCGACCAGTCTTCACGCAACCATTGCAAAATATCGATAATATTACTGAAGGTCATACTGCGCATTTCGAATGCAGACTCATACCTGTAGGTGATCCTATGCTCAAAGTGGAATGGTTTAGAAACGAAGTGCCTCTTGAGACAAGTAAGAATTCATAGATACAAAAGTTGAATATTAAAACGCAAAATATTAGTATAATTCTATAATACTGCGACAATACAATTCTTGCATAAAATAAATTTTTACTGTAATTTTTTTAGGTTCGCGAATCACAAAAGTGCATGACTTTGGATATGTATCTCTGGATATTGCTCATGTACGTGACAAAGATGAAGGAGTTTACATGTGCCGCGCGTCTAATCCGTTGGGCGAAGCGGTTACTACAGCTTCAATGAAGATTAAAAGTAAATGATTTTTTTATCTATTTAATTAAAGCTATTAAAATTGATTTTTTTAACGAGTAATCTTTAGTACGATTAATTGTTTAATCTATTTAATAAATTATTCTCATATATTAACACGTATAGCTAAGGCGAGCATACAGTTGGATACTCAGCATCCAGAGGCGCAACGTAGAATCGCTCAGTTGGAAGCCAAGGAAGCCGGACGACCCGAGGAACCGGAAAAAGTGTTTGATAAACCGATTTTCACGCAGTTGCTAACTGGACCAACGGAACTTTGGGAAGGACAAATGGCTAGATACGAATGCAGAGTCGTTCCTGTCGGCGACGCGAGTTTAAGATTTGAATGGTACATGAACGGAGTTGAATTAAAAATGGGTAAGATAGCCATAAGTTCTTTAGCGTTAAATTACTATTAGTATCGCACGTATGTAACATTAATAAAATCATTGTGCATCGATATTTAGGTTCACGTTTCCACGTAAATCATGACTTCGGGTACGTAACATTGGACATTCTAAAAGTTATCCCTGAAGACTCTGGAGTCTATACTTGCAAAGCGATTAACAATGCAGGAGAGGCAATATCGTCGATCTCTTTGAAAGTAAAAGCGCGTTCAGCCATCGATTCCGACAGCATACAAACCGATGCGTGGCAGAAGATTCAATTGAAAGAAGCAGAAATGAATAAAGTGCCAGAAATGTTTGTCGATACAACTCCACAGCAGGCACCAGTTTTCACCAAACATCTCGAAAGTTTTGATAAATTGATAGAGGGTCAACGTGTCTATTTAGAAGCTCAGGTGGAGCCGCGGGCGGATCCTAATTTGAGAGTGGAATGGTTTAAAAATGGTATAACTCTCCAAACTGGAACGAGGCTTCGTAGTACGTTTGATTTCGGTCTAGTAACACTATCGATCAACGGGCTAAGGCCCGATGATTCCGCAATTTATACATGCAAAGCAATTAATCTTTTGGGAGAAGCGGTGTCAACTTGTAGTTTGAAAATTGTCGATCGTCATTGGTTATTGGGAGATACTTTGCATCCTGATGCTCTACCGAAAATCGATGCTTTGGAACAGCCTCAGAGAATCTCTACTGATCAAGCGGAACCTACTTATGAAGAACCAGTTTTTATTACTCATTTAAATAATGTAGAATGCATCGAAGGTGATAACGCTCACTTCGAATGCAATGTAGAACCATCGAAAGATCCAACTATGAAGATTGAATGGTTTTTGAACAATAAACCTTTGCCGACTGGTGCAAGATTTAAAAGCACTTATGATTTTGGTTACGTGGCTATGGACTTGACTCACGCTTACGAAGAAGATTCTGGAGTAATTACCGTTAAAGCTACAAATTCAAAAGGAAGTGCACAGACATCTGGTACTCTAAAATGTACTAGCAAACAAAATATTTATCTTCAAACGCAACATCCACAAGGAGAAATCGGACTTGAGAAAGTGAAAAAAGCCGAAGATGCTTATTTATCAAAATACAGGAAACCAGAAGATGTTCCTGAACATGAATATCCTAAACCGATTTGGACGGTGCCTCTCGGGCCTGAATTTAAATTGGGAGAAGCTGAACCATTACATCTAGAGGGACAAGTTGAGCCAAAGGATGATCCTAATTTAAAGATTGAATGGTATTTTAATGGAAAACCTTTAGAACATGGTTCACGCTTTAAAATGACTAACGATTTTGGATTTGTCACTTTGGATTTAACGGACGTTTATGAGCGTGACTCTGGTATTTACACTTGTAAGGCCTATAACAAAGCAGGCGAAGCTTTCACTTCAACGACGGTTTATTGTTCTACGAAGGAAAATATCATCGAAAAGTCGCAGCATCCCAAAGGCAAAGAAGGTCTCGAAGCAATTCAAGATCTGGAAGAATCTTTGAAACGGCAAGAAGGAGCTCCTCTAGGAGAAGAAGAAGGTCAACCACCAATGTTTACATCGCAATTCGAGAATTTGATTAATCTCTCGGAAGGAGAGATCGCTCACTTTGAAGCATCTCTCATCCCTACTGGTGATCAAACTATGGTAGTTGAATGGTTCTACAATGGCAAATCTTTAGAAGCTAGTCATCGCACGAGAACCGTTTATGCTTTCGGCATGGTTGTTCTCGAAGTTCTCGGTACTAAAATAGAAGATTCGGGTACATATACTTGTAGAGCCACCAACAAATGGGGTAAAGCAGAAATTAGCGTGCAATTAGAATGCATCGACAAGTCCAAGGGACAGAAACCTAAATTTACAACGCAAATTCAATCTTTGGAAGGTTTAAAAGATGGCCAATCAGCTCATTTTGAGTGTACTCTAATCCCAGTAGGTGATCCTCATATGAAAGTCGAGTGGTTCCACAATGGAAAACCTCTACGGCATTCGTCACGTTTCAAGATGGTCTCTGATTTCGGCTTTGTAGTTATGGATATTGCCGGTGTGATGTCTCACGACAGCGGAGAATACGTTTGCAAAGCAAGCAATAAATACGGTGAAGATTATACAAAAGCTACGATCAAGTGCTTTGGCAAGAGCGGAGTTTATTTAGATTCTCTGCAGCCGGATTCACTTGCTAGAATTCGAGAACTCGAAAGTTATACGGGAGAACAAACAACTACATCTATGACTCCTGTCGCTGAACCACCGAAATTCATTACGCAGATCGCGGACATAACAAAACTGGTAGAAGGGCAGTCCGCACATTTCGAGGCTAGGCTGACCCCAGTGAACGACCCCGATTTGAAAGTCGAGTGGTACTACAATGGCAAGAAACTTCCTCACGGCCATCGATATCGCACCTTCCATGACTTTGGTATCGTTATCCTAGATATACTTTATTGTTACGAAGAGAATTCTGGAGTTTACGAATGCAGGGCAGTCAATAAATATGGTGAAGATTCTACGAGAGCAACACTCAAATGCTTCTCCAAAGCTAATCTTGTTTTGGAATCGCAACTTCCAAAGGGCATGGAAGGCGGTCTAGAAAAAATACAAAATCTCGAAGACTCAATGATACGTACAAAAGACGAAAAAATTGTAGAAGAACGAGGCAAGGCTCCTATGTTCACTGTACCTTTGAGTAACGTCGATGGTCTACGAGAGGGAGAAAGTGCGCATTTCGAGGCACGAGTAATTCCTACGGACGACCCTAAATTAAAGGTAAATTAAATTTTATTTAATTTTAGTCTGTATATCATACGCATGTAAATATGTATACGTTTTATTGGACATTATATTGTTCTTTTTGATACAGGTCGAATGGTTTTGGAATGGTAAACCATTGCGGACAGGATCTCGTTTCCGCACTTTTTGCGATTTTGGTTTCGTCATTTTGGAAATTTCTCCTATCTACCCTGAAGACTCTGGTGAATATAGTTGTAGAGCAACAAATAACTACGGTGAAGCAGTGACAACGTGCACATTGAAGTGTACGGGCAAACGTAGTATTATTTTGGAATCTCAATTACCCAAAGGTATGGAGAATACAATTGATAAGATTGCCGAGTTGGAAGGTCTCGGAGCTGTTTCGGGTCAAATCAGTCCTGAAGACGATACTGGTAGACCGCCAGAATTTATCACGACTCCTTCTGACTTAACTTTGACTGAAAATTCTCTTGCTCACTTCGAATGCCGACTACAGCCAATTAACGATTCTAGCATGAGAGTCGAATGGTTCCACAACGGCAAACCTCTTCTCGCTGGTAGTAGAGTCAAAACGATTCATGACTTTGGTTTCGTCATTCTAGAAGTTGCAAATTGCTATCAACGCGATTCCGGCTTATATACTTGTAAAGCCACCAATCGTCATGGTGAAGCCACAGTATCATGCAAGCTTCAAGTTCGCGGACGTCAAGGTATCATCTTGGAGCCTCAATTACCGAATAATTTTAAAACCGGTACAGAAAGCATTCAGAAACTGGAAGAGTCCTTATATAAGAAAGATGAGATTTTGGCGGAGGAAGAAACGTCGAATCCACCAAAATTCATTGTCGAACTTAAAGATATTGAAGTTGAAGAAGCTGGACCGAGTCACTTCGACTGTAGAGTCGAGCCTGTGGGTGATCCTACTATGCGTATTGATTGGTTCCACAATGGACGGCCCTTCGCGACAGGTTCTCGTGTCCATCAAATTAATGATTTTGGATTTATATCATTGGATATGTCATATACATATGCACGAGATAGCGGCGAATATGTCTGCAGAGCTACCAACAAGTGGGGCTCTGCTACTACCAAAGCTACCATTACTTGTAAATGTAAGTTGCATATTTTGATCTTAAAAATGTAGATATACTTTTATATCTTAACTATTATAGTATAAAACAGAAATAATTTCTTCTTTTATTCTCTCTTATAGCCAAGAAAACGATAGATTTTGATTCTCAATTGCCAATGGGAATGAGCGGTGAAAAACTAAAAGAACTGGAACGAGGACCGGTCTCTCAAGCTCCTGCGGAAGAAGCACCGCAACAACCGCCTCATTTCATCACGCAAATCCAATCGACAACTGTCGACGAGGGTGAACCAGTCAGATTCGAATGCCGTGTAGAGCCCAAAGAGGACTCGAATCTACACATCGAGTGGTACAGAAATGACAAATTGATACCTGCTGGGCACAGATATAGAACGGTTTACGATATGGGATTTGTGTCCATGGACATCTTATATGTTTATCCCGAGGATTCTGGTGAATATGTTTGCAAAGCCATCAATAACCTTGGAGAAGATACCACTCGAGCTGCTGTATCTTGCAAGAGTATGTTATCTTTTAATCTTTTCATTTTTCAAGCTAAATTAGTTGTATCAAAGATGACTTATCAAATAAATTTTTTTTTCACAGAATTACCAAGCATTATTTTACAAAATCAAGTACCAAAAGGTATGAAAAAATCCGAGGCCTTGATGCAGATGGAAGCGACAATTAAAAAATATACTTCGGAAATACATTTAACAGAAGACGATTTATATGATGCGGATAAAAAACAACCGCCTCGTTTCGTCACGCAGATTCAAGATCAGACCGATCTTGTTGAAATGAATAGTACCAAATTCGAATGCCAATTGGCACCTGTGGGTGATCCAAATATGAAAGTCGAATGGTTCTTTAACGGGAAACCATTACCTCATAAGAATCGATTTACGCCTATTTATGATTTTGGCTATGTAGCAATGAACTTTGGTTGGGTTTATCCAGAAGACAGTGGCGAGTATTTATGCAGAGCTACGAACCTTTATGGAATGGACGAGACCAGAGCTATAATCAAAACTGCGGGAAAACCAGGAATTATCTATGAGTCTCAACTTCCAAAAGGCATGAAAAGTATCGAAAAAATCAGAGAAATGGAAGCAGCATGGCAAATGTAAGATATTATTTTACACTTCATTTATTGTGTACCTACAAGAAAAATAATTTCTTTGACTGATAAAATTATTAAGACACAAAATTTATTTCCATTTTATATGTATCTTGAGACATTGTTTCCAAGAAAAGACTTTCGAAAAGAAAAAAAAATTGTTTTTTTCAAGTATTTATTTGTCTATATTATGACGAAAAATCATTGCAACAATATGAAATGATAATATCTAAATGTATTATTTAAAATATCAAACGCACCTTATAGAGTACCCGAAGAGGAAGGTGAACAAGAAAAAGTACGCTCGGCGCCTATTTTCGTGAGCAAACCGGAACCGATAATCGTCGAAGAAGGCGATTGGTCTAGATTCTGTTGTCGAGTCACTGGTCACCCAAGACCTCGAGTTATGTGGATAATCAATGGACATACGGTAGTCAACGTAAGTTTCAAAATATCACTTGCAATACATTAAATGATGTCGATACTTATAGCAAAAATATATTCATAATATAATTATATTAAATTTGTCCCCTTTTTCACGTAGGGATCCCGCTATAAATTAACGTACGACGGCATGTATCATCTGGATATACCAAAGACTAGACAGTACGATCATGGAAAAGTGGAAGTGATTGCAAGGAGCTCCGTTGGCGAAGCACGTATAGAAACAACTCTAACGGTGAAGCAGCGAAGCGACGATTACCGCGGTGTATTGAAAAATTCACCAAGGCGTAAGTTTTCGCTCCTATCATATAAATATACGGCCATAACTTCTTCGTGCCTTACAATGAAATAAAATATATTTTTATAGAACAATGAGATTGTATAAGTAAAAGAAATATGAATATAAAAATGGTAAATTTAATTAATTAATTATTAACTTTCTGCAACTTTCTTCAAAAAGTACGAAGAATTTGTGTGCAGTAACAATTTGAATGGATTACAACAATACAGATATATCACACGTGAAAATGAAAAAAAAAACGGTTGTAAACCTCCAATAACGATTCGCGAAAAGCGAGCGTAGATTGGAAAATATCGAGCAACCGAAACACAGTACATTTTCTATATATCGATACGACAAATGCATTCGAATACAGAGAACACTCTAAACTATTCGAACATAAATGATTCCTTCTTTCCTACTTTCCACATTTGGCACTCCAAAGCCACAAAAATCATCTCAAATCCGACAGCTTCTTCTGCTTCTCCTTCTTCTTCGTGATGGTTGGAAATATCAACGGGAATATTAGAGCATCTTAGGTCAAAGGTATCGTATCTCTCACACTCAGGTATGAAAAATATAATCGTCGGAAAACCGTTAATATTGCCTTATATTTTATTAATGTTTTTTTCTCTTATAAATACGATCATATATTGTTGCGCTGGAGAATACGGCGGGTTTATTGCTCATTAGTGTGTTACTTCATTTAATCTCAATTTATTTATTTCTTACGTTTATACTTAACTCTTAATCTGTATTTAAGATATTTATTTAAGATAAATATACACTGAGAGAAAAATGTTTGGTATTTGTAACTATAATTACATATCACTATAATTATGATTATTACTGCTATAATAATAATAACAGTAACTATGTATATAGTTCTAGCAACAAATGTATATAGTTGGCAACCTAAAATGACTATAATTATAGTTGTTATAACCATAAAGTAGTTGAAATTACCATAAAAATGATTCAAGTGACTATAATTTCATAGTTATATTTTGAAACCATAAAAAATATGGTTGTTCCAAAATATAACTATAAAATTATAGCCACTTGAATCATTTTTATGATAATTTCAACTATTTTATGGTTATAACAACTATAATTATAGTCATTTCAGGTTGCCAACTATATACATTTGTTGCTAGAACTATATACATAGTTACTATTATTATTATTATTATAGCAGTAATAATCATAATTATAGTGATATGTAATTATAGTTATAAATATCAAACATTTTTCTCTCAGTGTACCGATGGAGGAATCCGTCTCGATGACCTTAACCTTGACATATATAGTCAAGGTCATGACCCTAAGTGACCTCCAACAGGTTTTAGCCATCGTTCGTTATTCGTTAAAAAGTTTTTAACAGAAAAAGTTTTGCTATAAAACAAAGATTCTCTGCTTTAAAAACAAAAATGTTCTTTGAACACATTATTTTCTTATATAAATTTTGTTTTTAAAGCAGAAAATTTGTGATTTTGTAAAAACGTTTTATTCGAAATGAAGTCTACCTCCCTGCCTAAAGATGACTTTTGATGAAGATGGACCTTATTTTGCGTAGAAAGTCGAACGTCCAGACAGAAAAGGAGAAATGAGGTGGATCATTTACCTTATTTAATATTTATTCTTATTCATCGCACTGTAGGCACCCTATACTTTTTGTTCCCTTATTGTTATATAAAATAATTTATGTTAGGTATTGTTTGTAGAAAGTGCAAATATCGAGCAGATTCCGTATCTCTCATCAATATTGCGCAATCAATATAATTTGATCTTAATTACTATCATGGGTTTAATTCAGGGACCCGGACCGAAAGGTTTTTTTGATTCGGTTCCGGTTTAATAAAATATCAAATAAATGTTCCGGTTTCACACTGTTAGAAATGAGTAGAAAAGAATAGTTTCTCAATGAATTTTAATTAACATGTAAAGGAAGCATGTGGTTATGCACGAAATTAAATGTAATGAATGATGTAAATAAAAACTAAATTACAGTAGTCTTAAATATGATGAACGTGTGTATTGAAATTAATGAACACATTATTATAGAAATTAATTTACACGTTAATGAAAAGTACGAGATCTGTAACTGAAAAGTAATTTACGTTAATGACATGTAAGAAACATAAACGTACTAAACGTTAAGCGTTAATAGTATTAGGCCTAATTAAAATATTATTAATATTCGTAAATGTAAAAGTACATTAAATTTTATTAATATGTACATTAATAGTTATTTCAATTACGATTAATTAAATGTCATTTATACCCGTAAATGAAAAGTATATTAAATTTCATTACACTTAATTTTTCAGTTACTGTAAACTTAAATCTCATTAACATGTGCATTAATAGTCCTTTCAGTTACAGAGAAATTAAACTTCATTCACCAATGTACATTAAAAGTTAATAAAATTTAAGAACGTTTCTAACAGTGCAGTTTCGGTTTTTTTTTACCAGTAAAGAAAACCGAAACCGTAAAAATTACAGTTTTTGAATGGTTCTTTTTTTGGTTCTACTTACTTACTTTATTTCATTCATTCCTTAAATTCTGTTAAAAAGAAGGAGGGGAGGGAGAGAGGGGGGAGAGGAAGAGAGCGAGAGGGGGAGGGAGGGGAGAGAGGGGGGAGAGGGGAGCGTTCATCTAGAAAGCCTAGTCGAAAAGAGGCGTTAATTGATTACGTGACTTTGAATCAAAAAATTACGTAAACATTATTTTAGGCATATTTCTCTCAGTCCTTTCTTACAACTTATTTTTTATGGGTAGATCTTACTTATTACATAAAGTCTACATATGTATTCTTGAATTTCATGACTTAAAATAAATTCTTGCAACATGTTGGTGAGGAAGAACTAAATAAAAAAAATGCTAGTATCTTAAAAAAAGTTTACATCAAATATGTCTCGCAATCCCGCCAGATTTCTTATATCATATGAGGTGTTGGAGGTATTTACATTCTGGTTATTAAGAGAGGTGGTGATGGTAATACTGGATGGAATATTGGTGATTTGAATGAAGGAATGTGCAGAACAAAGATTAAGAACAAGGGTAAAGATTAAAAATTAAGAAGTGAAAAAAGAACCGAAAAAAACCATAAAATTTTACCAGTTCGGTTACGGTTTCGGTATTATAAACTATACAAAATTTGGATACGGTTTCGGTTTCAGTTCACTAAAAAAAAGGGTTCCGAAACGGTTTTCGGTTCCGATTTCGGTTCGGTCCGGGTCCTTGGTTTAACTTGCTGTTTTTCTTGCATTTTGTTTATCCTTTCCTTTTTTTTTCTTTTTGGATATGCGTTTTCTATATTACCCATCCTTTAATGCCTCGCACGAAAAGTAGCGAGCGGTATATTAAAACTAATTCGTTGAAAAAAAATAAAGTTCGACGATTTACGTAAAATTACTTAGTTAATCAAACGAAGGAACTTCGTGATTCAATAGAATATTTGTTCTCTTTAAATTGAAAGAAAACCTTCTCATAATACGAAGGAGAGCACGTACATAAGAAACAAATAATTTAATCTAACAATATTTTTGATAATATGTAAAAGCAAAACAATTTCAGATATGTGTTAACCATGCGAATTTTCCATATCCAGCTCGATTCCTATTATCTGTCATCTAGGTGTCGTCGATATGTGTTGTATCGTCGTTCACGTACTGTGTCTTAGGTATCGTAGTTTTCGATTAGATATTTTTGTTTCTTGATTAAGAGAAACGCAACGTTGCTTCAGTGAGGTATCTGAATCTGATCTTGTAGTAAATTATAATGCAAATGATTCATTACATTTTCAAGGGAAAATGTATGCAAATGCTATGTAATACCTGTAAAAACGCCTCACTGAGGGACGCTGTATTTGCTAATTAAGAATCCTAAATTAAACCAATCCATGATATGTCCATACGCGTTCTTCTTTATGAGAAATTTGAGATGTACGAAATACGAGGGCACATAGATATCATGTATTGTTTCTTTAGCCTGGTACGATTATGGACTAACACAGTACCAGACCGAGCGGCAAAACACAGAATTGGAGCGTGTGTTCGATGAACGTCATCAAAGTGTTTCCCAAGGAATCGAGATTGCTACAGAGCATCTTGGTCCTAAAGTTATTAAAGAACCTGAGACCGAGTGGCAGAAATCCGTCAAGAGCAAGAAAAATGAAGATTATTATAACAAGTTGATGAATCTCGAAGAGGAACAAGTGCTCAAAGAGACCCGATTAAGAGAAGCTTCGCATCAATTTGCTATTCCTGGCGATAAAGTCGTTGCACATTCCTTAGCAAAGGGAATGGCTCAAAAGTATGAAGAAAGTTTGTAAGTATTATAATAAATATTTGATAATATTGGCAATTCAAATATTTAGTGATAATATTTGGTAACTTCTTATTACTAGAGAGGAACAACCGCAACAAGAATCTATACAACCATCTCCGAAATATGTAAAAAAACCATTTGTTACCGAAGTGGATATAGATACAGAACGCGTTAAAGCCACGGGAAAATATCCTTCGGAACCGTCTGAATCTACAGTTCATGGTCGCGAAGTTCATGTTGCGAAACAAAAACAAACACAAAAAGAAGTCAAGGGTGACGTAGAAATAACGAGAAAAATTACAGCAACGGAGACAACAGAAGTAGAACATAAAGCGAAAACACAAGAACGCGTGGTGCAAGGTCAAGTCAAACCTGCCAAACCCCCTGTTTTTACGAAGAAAATTCAACCTTGTAGAGCATTTGAACAAGAACAAGCCAAATTTGAAGTTGAATTTGATGGCGATCCACTACCAACTATCAAATGGTACCGCGAAGATTTTCCTATACAAAACTCAGCTGATCTTCAAATTTATACTTTCAGCACCAAATCGGTGTTAATTATCAGACAAGTTTTTATGGAAGACTCTGGTGTCTTTTCCGTCATCGCTGAGAATAGAGGAGGAAAAGCCAAATGTAGTGCCAATTTAGTTGTAGAGGAACGCAGAAGGCAGCCTGGACGAGGTGGCGCGGTACCACCTAGTTTCTTATCTACAATCCAATCCGCTTCTGTTGCTACTGGACAACTCGCTAGATTCGACGCCAAAATTACCGGCACTAAACCTTTGGATGTTTATTGGCTCAAGGTAAAATAAGTAAAATACATGTATGTATATGTGCTATAAACTTGCCAATTCGATTGATGATTTTATACATAGCGCATAGTGAATAGAAAATTTAAATTAATTTACGTTTGAATCTTTTTTATTATAGAACGGCAAAAAAATAATAGCGGATATCCGTTATAAAACTTTGGAAGAAGATAATATTTATACACTTCTGATTCTCGAGACAGTACCAGAGGACATTGGCAAATATGAATGTGTTGCGATTAACAGTGCTGGAGAAGCGCGTTGCGAAGCGGAATGTACTGTTCGCGGACCTCAATCTCCAACAAAGGTCGCAAAACCTACAACGCCAACAGTAGAAAAAGCGCCAACTGTTCTAGAGTCATTAAAAGATCAAACCATTAAGGAAGGAACTTCAGTCGCTTTCGCTTGTAGAATCGCAGGAAAGCCCATTCCTATTATACAATGGAAGAAAGCTGATAAGGTATGTACAATAAAATAACTTTGACACAATGAATTTTTCAAATAATTTCATTCGCAAATGCTTACATTATTTGTAAGGTAATCAAACCGTCGAAGTATTTTCAAATGCAAAAAGAAGGCGATTTCTGTACCCTGAAGATTTCTGAAGCCTTTCCCGAAGACGAAGGTGTTTATAAATGTATTGCTAAAAACCCCGCTGGTGAGATCACAACGTCTGCCAATCTCAGAGTTCTCGGTAAGACAAAAAGAAAAAAATTCAAATTCAATATTTAAAAAAATTTTTTATTAACGGCATAAAATATAATAAATATTAAAAAATAAAAAGTTCAAATTCAATCTTTCTAAATTTTTTATTAACGGCATTGACGCACCACTTTTCTCCACTTTCAATTAGCGCCCGATACAACTGATGTCCTGGCAAAATTGACTCCTTTGAAGGATCAAATAGTGGTAGAGGGACAACCAGCTCAATTTAAAACTCAAGTGAGTCCGGCAAAGCCTAAGCCAACGATTCAGTGGTATCGAGAGGGTGCCTTGATCCCACAATCACCAGACTTTCAGGTAAATATTTTGCCATTGTTCTTCCATAAAACATTGAAGGAGATTTCATGTTTATATGTGATATTCATGGAAGACATGGTACATTTTCAGATGATTCATGAAGGGAACAATGCGGTGCTGCTGATAGCAACTACTTACGAGGAGGATACTGGCACCTTCACTTGCCGCGCTACAACTTCAGCCGGTACCGTAGAAACATCTGCCAAACTCATCGTCAAAAGTAAGAACTAAAATAAAAGATATAGAATCGATTGCTAACATGACACACGATTGTTCTTATATATACTCCAACAACTGCCGGAGACAAATACTCGAGACAATAGCATGACAAATCAATTAACAAATTAATAATATTAGTGAATTGTTTATTAAATCTTGGAAAAAGTTATATTCTAACTTTTTCAGTTTGTTGTACTTATTGTTGTACATTGATTAAATCGGTAATAATCTCGTGGGAATTATAGATTATTATAGTTTTTCGAGATGTCAAAAGAATTAGCTTCTTTTCAATGGCGCATGATACAGCAAAATAGATATAAAACGGATGTTGATATAAAATGATCATTAAATTAAACAATTTTTACAACATCGTAATTGATCATTGCTAATGTATACATTAATTACCGTCTAATGTGTTTATTGCGACTAATGTCTTTACATCGTCTCAAACTCTTACAATGTCTCCGCGTAGCCCAATTCGTCGTAAATATCCACCCGTATTTTTACTTTTGTGCTTTATTGTTGCCTTCCTTGAAAGAACGTAACCTACCGACCTTGCTAAAGTTCTCAACTTCCATCTCAAACAGATCTCCTGTAATTAAAAATGACGTGCGCGCCCGGGGAGTTTGTGTACTAACTATTATATTTTGAGAATAGTTGAGCGAGTGAAACGAGGAATAGTTAATAACAATAAGTTATTATTAAGGAACTTGTTCAGATTGCATTATACAACTATAAATTTCGCGCGCAAAAATTATCTTAAGACATATCGCTTAAGTAAGAAAGTTACGAAGGTAATGTGAAATTAAAGTGTTGTAAAAGTAAAATTAAAATAAAAATCGAAATTGTTTGTAACGTAATCGGTCAAGACAAGTGCGATCATTTTTTTAAGATCAGTACAATGTAGACGATTGAAGGTAGAGTGAAATGTCGTTCCACTTATATTGGCAACATTTTGATTTGCTTCTTACGATAAAAATTATGTTCGCAGCTTTTTCACAAAAATACTATAACTTTGTAAATAGACTCAATATTTGAAATTTTGCGCGACATTAATCAGTATGGATAAAAACAAAAAAAAAATAGCAATGCAACTACGTTGAATATAAGTAACTCGTTTACTCGTTCGCTGTATAATTTTGATGTTTATTATAAAAAGTATATCGCGTAAAATATATATATATATTTACATACACATATTACACAATTTTCTCACTATATATGTACGCCCACATTTTACGATTATACACATATATGTATGTATATATATATATATATATGTACATATTCATTTATTAAAGAATTTACAATGATACATAAAAATATCGTCCAACGTCCTACTAATCAATTATTTATTATTGTACAATGAAAGTCGCAATAAAACCAAATGTTCTAAATATGTTCAAGTCTCGTTTGTTGTCGTTTCGACAATCATTGCCTCAATTATTAATATGTCTCAATTATTAATCTCTATCGTCAATGATTTTAACGTGACCCTCAATAGAAAAATCTTTGAAGCGATTGTAGATTCCAATTCAATATGATGTAAAATATATGTAAAATTTATATAATTATTAATGAAACATATTTTTATAAATCTCGCGCTATGAGTAAATTAATTATCTAAATTGTTACATTCAATATTTTTATAATAAAAAAGAATCATAATGTAAAAAATATCTACCGTTAGAGGAAGAAAGATGTTAATAGAGAATGTTTTGTTATTTGAATTCTTTCTCAGATGTCGCGTGCGAGAGATAAAGTACATAACACGTGTTTAACATCCAGGAAAAAAATGTTTCATACATAATTATAAAAATATACAAAATTATATATAATTATGTTAAAATTTGACATATTTTATATACAATTATGTATAATTATATATAAAATATGTCCATATATATATATAACATTTTCTTCTGGAATTTTAAGAAACAAATAGTTTACATCGAAAGGAAAGTTTCACAATAGAACAAAAATTTCCAATTTATCCTTGATTACCAAAGCATACTCATATACAGTTATTAATATATAATGTGTATATATATATATAATAATAATTTATATTAACTTTTTCGTGCAAAAAACATTTCAAGTGAAAAGCAGATGCAGTGCCGTGTGCACATCAAGCAAGACCCTTTTCTTAGGTTATTTTTGAGCACGTGATGTGTATTACATTACCTGGCTGTATTTGGCCGTTGGCTCAGAGCTCCGCAAAGATTCATCGACTGCGATGCTTTAGATTGTACTTATAAAATCTATTTTTAAAAAACATTTATATAATCTATTATTAGTCTATTTCTTTTTAAATGTTTACGTTTTTTACTATTACTTAATAAAATAAAAAATTTGTAATAATTTATTATACATTATATTATATTATACATTATATTATAATAGTAAATTTTATGTACATCTTAAAATACATCACATGCTCGCAAATGTATGCTTCCAGAAACTTTAAACGGTAAATATATTTCAGCGTATTACATGTATTGTTGACATCTTATTACACAACTTACATCATATACATATATATGTATACATATATATATATATATATACATATATTTTTCAAGTTCTACATAAATAATTTTAAACATTAATCCTTTGCGACCAGCGTTAAGTCGTTATATATAGGTATTTATTCAGATATTGAGATAGATAGGAATGTTAAATATATCGAATAAAACAAATATATTTCAGAAAACTTTAATTTCCATTTTTAATTATCTTGAAATTATTTGGAAATGGAGAGATATTTTCTAAAAACTGCACGGTCTATTCTCCGTGTCCTGAACATGATTCACAGACAATGTGTGACAATTAAAAAAATACATGTGATTCTCAATGAATTTTGAACGACCTTGAAGATGAAATGACAGTTTCTACTTTCCAAGAAAACAAATGGACATCTGACTCATCAAGAAGAAATTCTTTTCTGTGGTCCATATTTATTCTATCTTTGATTCTAAATCGCCACCTACGTTTGATGCTTCGTCAGCACAGTAATTTCGAAGAAAGCTGGCCGAGATAGTTGACTATTTTGGCTTCGTCTCGAACCAGCTGCTAGTGATTCAGTCATGCCAGGAATAATACGGAGAAGAGTGTGTCAGCGTACTCTACAAAACGAGTAAAAATTATTTTTAGTAAATCAGTAACTTCAAGATATACTGACAGACTACGTTGCAAATGTCTAATACAACAGACTGTTAATGGTATCTATTACAATGCGATCGTATTTATTGTTAATGCAATCGAAATATTTTATGAAAAAAATACAAATCACTAATAGACTAAATATAATAGACTGAATTCTTCCACAATTTTGTAATAGAATTCTATTCAATAATTATCAAAATAAAAATTAAACTTGATCACCAAAAGAAAATCCTTTGTTATTCATTTAAAGTTTTTCGATCTATCTGTGAAATTGAAACAAAAAATAGAACATTTATTTACAATTAAATAGTATAGCGCTACCAACTGAGAATATGATAGCAATTTATATGTATTAATTTAATTATATAGTTTTTGAAAAATATGTACACTGTAAAAAATAAGATGTTAATTTTAGTTTAGACGCATAGTGGACTTTTTGAGACATGCAAAAATGTTAAAATTAATATTTTTGTGTTAATTTTAACATTTTTGCATGTCTCAAAAAGTCCACTATACGATTAGTTAAAATTAAACTTTTATTTTTTACAATGTATATAAAATTTAATTTTTTGTAAATTAATATAAGATTATTAAATAATGAAAATAGTCAACGTACTTAAATACACACACGCGCGCGCATCTATATATATATATATATATATATATATATATGTATGTATGTATAAAAACATATAATCATAAAACTTATAGGACAAGAAGATATATAGAAGTAAAAGTGAATATGTATCTGTGTCTATCTCTTTTTTTATTTTGAAAATCCATTTTACAATTCGCCTAATAAACTATGTTATCGTGTAGAAAGTAGTAGATCCCTGTCCTTATATTCACCCACTCATCTACGTCTGCATTCACTTATATATAAGTATAGTTTTTTGAACCTCTGATTATAATATTAAACTATAGATTGATAACTGCTTTTCCAAGATGAAATTTCATAGCTTACTCAGTAATCTCTTATATCATTAAGTCAATAATTAAATAATAATTGCACTTTACACACATTTTAACTAAATGACTGAGAAAGAGATAAACAAGAAAGCGCTTTTTTGTTTGTATATTTTGGAAACGGCATTAAAATATACGTTAAAAGACAGATTATATGAACGCAAAATACTAAATATTTTTGAGCATATGAGATATTTGTTTGACACAACTATATGCACATGTAAATATAAATTGTTGAACAGTTCACTGCACGATGTATACAAATATTTTTAATGTATCACTTTACAACAGCACAATGGATTATCCAGTTCGAATATAACTTCGATTAATCACATAATGGAAAGAAATTTATAGAGATAACGAACGTTAGAAAATGTACTTGTCGACATTCTCTTTCTTTCAAATATCATTTTTTATTCACTTTACTGAAGAATCACTGTGATATCACTATAAGAAGGGAAACGACGATTTTGCCGGGATTTCCTTCGTTCCTTCGTCTTCGACTTCCAACTGATTACTATTACGACTAGATGTAGCATGAAATAGGAACGTGTGTCTTATACGCCAAGGATCCCCACCGAGTTACTCCGCGGGAGACTACTTTAGAGAAACTCATGAGCAACGCAAACTCTACGGCCACTGCAAGCGAACTGCTTCGACTCGCGCGATTATATTTAATAAAATATCCATTATTCATGACTCCTTGATATATCTTCCAAAATTTCCTCGTGTATAACGTATAGATTTAAAAAATAATATCGCTGCATGATCAACGTCGAAATAGTATTGTATTTTATTATATTTCAGAGAAGAAATTCCTACATAGTCAAGTCACAAAGGACAAACTCTTTAAACTATTTAAAAATAACTTAAAGAATTTTGTACATCCATGCGTTTTATGTTTTTGCTGTAGACATTTTATAACGTTTATGTTCTACATACAATTGTTAACACGTTTGACTGACTCGTCGTTACTAAACTTTCTTTCTTAATATTGTTACTTTAAGTAACTTTCATATAAATCTATATACACAAATATATAAGTGTGTATGTGTGTTAATTTTAATGTTCTTTGTTAACAAAATTTAATTTAAAAATTCATGCTCTTCTACAATTGCTTGTTTCACTAGTAGTTGCAACTGTCACAAAACAATAAATATTTTTATTGTCGATATGGTATCTATCCATAAAAAGGCAGATATCACAAAAAAATAGATGTTCAGTTAAATACAATCTTTTACAAATCATATATTACATATTAATAACTCACGAATAATTCACTTTTCCAAGGTTGGTTATCCGGCAGATTTCTTTGCCTTGAAAAGTTAATTCAGTCAAAATCTATTCCTTGTCAGCGATTACAAAATATTTATATAACTAATTTTACGATATTAAAGAATTGATAAATTATCGTGAGTTTATAAATAGAGTTTTCCTTAATTTTTTCGTTAAAAATATCATGATGTATTATGATGTAAATAAAGCTTTTTCTTAATTTAATTTTAATGTATACGATATGAAACAAATAGTGAAAAACATTTATATCTATTTAAAACAATTTTGCATAACTTACAGAGAGAAAAGAAGCCTATTACGCGGTTCCCGCGGAGACGGGTGCCAGTGTTGAAATAGATGCAAAACCTCATCAAGATTTGAAGGAAAATTTAATTCTGAGATCTTTACCTCTCGACAAAACTGATTTACCATTTGAAGTACAGCTTCAACTTGGTGATGAATCGTTGCCTTGGCGAAAAGGACGCGTTCTATCTCGAACTTATGATTCACTTCCGTGGCGGAAAGTACAAACAACATCAAGAGATTCTTCACTGGATAAGCTTCAAGCTTTCGAGAGTCAAATAAAACCATGGACCGAGGAAGAAGTAATTTTGAAAAAAACTCCCAAAGTTACTAAGGATGTAACGACAGAAAGGTTAGAAGAAGTTCAATTAAGATTGATGAAGACCGAAAAAAAAGATATCCATGGATTTAATATAGAACTAATTAAATTGAAATCCGTGCCTAAAGAGGTAATAGATAAAATTATAATAACCGAAGAATATGCTAGCGACAATATTACGACAGAACTTTATAAGGAGCAAGAGGATAATACTCTGTTAAAAACATCGCGTCGTTTAGATGAAACTTCGTTGAAAAAAGAGAAACAGGAGAAACCAAGATCATGGTCGGAGGAACAAATTGTTTTAAAGAAAATAAAACCAAACACAAAAATAACTTCCGAATCGGATGTAGAAAAAATAAATTTTCTTGAGCAAGAGGACACTTCTTTGCTTATAATTGTAAAAGACGCAGAAATGCAAAAATTAAAAAAAGAAAAGCCTATCACAGAGAAGGCAGAACAATCCAAGCCTTGGACGGAGGAAAAAATCGTTTTGAAAAAGGCAAAACCGGAAAGAAAGGAAATACCCAAGGAAATCCTCGAAACCGTTTCATTGAAACCTTTGCAAATAGTAAAGAAAGATCTCGTGGAATCAACGTTAGATAAGGCAGATCTAAAACCAATTTCAAAAGAAGTAGCTGAAGCAATTTCAATGATTACACGAATTGATGTCATTACAGACAAAAAAGAGAGAAGAGCAAGCAAAGACGTGGATAAAATAATCATAGATAAAGAAGATAAGACAAAACCATGGACAGAAGAAAAAGTTATTTTGAAAAAATCTAAACCTATTCAAAAAGAAATTGAAAAAGAGATGATAGAAACGGTAAAATTAAAGTCATCTAAGTTTATTAAACCAGTATCTCCAAAATCAGATTTAGAAAAAATAAATTTGAAACCTGTCATAAAAGAAAAGGAAAATAATAGAGAAATCGATAAAACTGCTGAATACATCGAACAAGAAGATACTACATTACTTCAAGTTTCAACTGAGATGTACGATGATATTAAATTAAAACCAGATACAAGAAAAAAGTTAGTACGAGAAGAAAAACATATCGACGAAGACATTACGACGTATGAAGAGAAAGAAGATACTACTTTGCTTAAAGTTATGTCAGATCATGAAACTATTCATAAAAAGATAAAAAAACAAGAGGATGTGCCACAGGAAAAGCCACAGTTAAAGACATGGATGGAAGAAAAAATAATCTTAAAAAGAACAAAACCAGAGCAGAAAGAAATATATAAAGAAACTCTTGAGGAAGTATCATTAAAGCCAACATCAAGGTTAGATAAAGTAATATTAAAGAAAGAATCAGTAGAGAAAGTAGATTTAAAACACATCAAAATAAAAAGTACAGACTTGACTGGAGTTGTACAGCAAGAAAACGTTCCATATCACGAAGAAGAAGATAAAATAATTATAGAAATAGACAAAGATGTTGAGTTTACTAAAAAAGTGAGCAGTGAGAAAAAATCTAAAAGTATACCATATATGGAAAAGGAAGATACTACGATCCTCGACATCGATAATATAATTGAAAAATCTAAAAAAGAAGAAGTACCATGGGTTAGAGATAAAAAAGCAAAAGAAAAAAAAGAAATTGAAGAAATAAGAACATCTCAAATAATTAAACCTGAAATTAAACAGGAAGAAGATAAACCTACAGAAATTTCCGAAGCTCCATGGCGCCGTAAATCAAAATCGTCAATTCAAAAAAAGATTTCAGAAGCTGAAACTGATAAAACAAAATTTGACATTAAAGAAGTATCCGAAGCAACATGGCAAAAATCTGAAAAAAGTAAAACAACGAAACCTATTAAAGAAAAAGCACAAATTGAAGATTTCACATCTGTTGTACTAAAACCGGTAAAATGGCACGAAAAACTTGAAGAGCAAAAAACGACACAAGAAATTACACTACATCCGGCAAAACAATTACCTAAAGACAAAGAAGTGTCAGAAGACCTCACACATACACCGATGACAAAGGAAACATCCAAACCAGAAGTTTCACCTGAAAAAATCGGTGAAATTATTAACGGAGACATATTTACAAAGAAAATGGACGTACCATGGAGACGTGCGAAGAAATTAACACAAATTGAACAGAAACCTCAAGATTTACAGTTAAAATCTAGTAAGAAAATAATAAAACCAGAGGAAGCACAACCGGAGGAAATTATATTGAAACATGTCAGAAAACTTCCTAAAGGGGAAGAATCAAAACATGAAATCACGTTGAAACCAATGCAAAAAGAAAAAGTTGAAGAGAAACCGGAACAGGTCCGATTGAAGCCAGTGAAAAAGATAGAAAAACCCGAAGAGCCGAAACAAGAACAAATTGTGTTGAAACCTGTTAGAAAACTTCCTAAAGACGAAGAATCAAAGAAAGGAATTACTCTGAAACCAGTGGAAAAGGAAAAAGTTGAAGAAACACCGGAACAGGTCCGATTAAAGCCAGTGAAAAAGATAGACAAACCTGAAGAGCCGAAACCAGAGCAAATTGTATTGAAACCTGTTAGAAAACTTCCTAAAGACGAAGAAGTAAAGGAAGGAGTTATTTTGAAACCAGTGAAAAAGGAAAAAGTCGTAGAAATACCGGAGGAGATCAGACTGAAGACAGTGAAAAAGATGGACAAGCCCGAAGAGCCAAAACCAGAACAAATGGTATTGAAACCTGTTAGAAAACTTCCTATAGATAAAGAATCAAAGGAAGGAATCATTTTGGAACCAGTGGAAAAGGAAAAAGTTGAAGAAACGACGGAAGAGGTCCGATTAAAGCCAGTGAAAAAGATCGACAAACCCGAAGAGCCGAAACCAGAGAAAATTGTGTTGAAACCTATTAGAAAACTTCCTAAAGACGAAGAATCAAAGGAAGAAATCACTTTGAAACCAGTGGAAAAGGAAAAAATTGTAGAAACACCAGAGGAGATCCGATTGAAGTCAGTGAAAAGGATGGACAAATCTGAAGAGCCAAAACCAGAGCAAATTGTCTTGAAACCTGTTAGAAAACTTCCTAAAGACGAAGAATCAAAGGGAGAAATTACTTTGAAACCAGTGGAAAAGGAAAAAGTTAAAGAAACGACGGAAGAGGTCCGATTAATGCCAGTGAAAAAGATCGACAAATCCGAAGAGCCGAAACCAGAGAAAATTGTGTTGAAACCTGTTAGAAAACTTCCTAAAGACGAAGAATCAAAGGAAGAAATCACTTTGAAACCAGTGGAAAAGGAAAAAATTGTAGAAACGCTAGAGGAGATCCGATTGAAGTTAATGAAAAGGATGGACAAACCTGAAGAGCCAAAACCAGAGCAAATTGTGTTGAAACCTGTTAGAAAACTTCCTAAAGACGAAGAATCAAAGGAAGAAATTACTTTGAAACCAGTGGAAAAGGAAAAAGTCGCAGAAATACCGGAGGAGATCCGACTGAAGACAGTGAAAAAGATGGACAAGCCCGAAAAGCTGAAACCAGAACAAATGGTATTGAAACCTGTTAGAAAACTTCCTATAGATAAAGAATCAAAGGAAGGAATCATTTTGGAACCAGTGGAAAAGGAGAAAGTTGAAGAAACGACGGAAGAGATCCGATTAAAACCAGTGAAAAAGATCGACAAACCCGAAGAGCCGAAACCAGAGGAAATTGAGTTGAAACCTATTAGAAAACTTCCTAAAGACGAAGACTCAAAGGAAGAAATTATTTTGAAACCAGTGGAAAAGGAAAAAGTCGTAGAAATACCGGAGGAGATCAGACTGAAGACAGTGAAAACGATGGACAAACCTGAAGAGCCGAAACCAGAGCAAATTGTGTTGAAACCTGTTAGAAAACTTTCTAAAGACGAAGAATCAAAGGGAGAAATTACTTTGAAACCAGTGGAAAAGGAAAAAGTTGAAGAAACGACGGAAGAGGTCCGATTAGTGCCAGTGAAAAAGATCGACAAACCCGAAGAGCCGAAACCAGAGAAAATTGTGTTGAAACCTGTTAGAAAACTTCCTAAAGACGAAGAATCAAAGGAAGAAATCACTTTGAAACTAGTGGAAAAGGAAAAAATTGTAGAAACGCCAGAGGAGATCCGATTGAAGTCAATGAAAAGGATGGACAAACCTGAAGAGCCAAAACCAGAGCAAATTGTGTTGAAACCTGTTAGAAAACTTCCTAAAGACGAAGAATCAAAGGAAGAAATTATTTTGAAACCAGTGGAAAAGGAAAAAGTTGTAGAAATACCGGAGGAGATCAGACTGAAGACAGTGAAAAAGATGGACAAGCCCGAAGAGCCGAAAACAGAACAAATGGTATTGAAACCTGTTAGAAAATTTACTATAGATAAAGAATCAAAGGAAGAAATTACTTTGAAATCAGTGGAAAAAGTTGAAGAAACACCGGAACAGGTCCGATTGAAGCCAGTGAAAAAGATAGACAAACCCGAAGAGCCGAAACAAGAGCAAATTGTATTGAAACCTGTTAGAAAACTTCCTAAAGACGAAGAATCAAAGGAAAAAATCACTTTGAAACTAGTGGAAAAGGAAAAAGTTGTAGAAACACCAGAAGAGATCCGATTGAAGCCAGTGAAAATAATGAACAAACCTGAAGAACCAAAACCAGAGCAAATTGTATTAAAACCTGTTAGAAAACTTCCTAAAGACGAAGAATCAAAGAAAGAAATCACTTTGAAACCAGTCGAAAAGAAAAAAGTTGGAGAAAAACCGGAGGAGGTCCAATTGAAGCCACTGAAAACGATTGAAAAATCCGAAGAGCCGAAACCAGAGGAAGTTGTATTGAAACCTGTTAAAAAGCTCGCCAAAGAAGAAGTATCAATGGAAGAAATTTCTTTGAAACCAGTAGAAAATAAAGAACCCAAAGACATAAAGTTACAACCAGTATCTGAAATGCTAACAGAAATTTTAGAGGAAAAACCCAAAGATAAAGAGGCAGCAGAGATAATCGAAACTTCTTGGCGACGTAAACGAACAAAGAAAGTCGTTGATTTTAAAGATGAAGTAACTATAGTGCCTATTGATCAAGAAGAATCTGTTATAGACGTTTATGAAGAAAAAGAGGCAATGAGAATTACAACTGAAGATACTCAAGATCTATTTGAACAGAAGATAGAAATTATGCCATTTAAAGAAGATAAGATAACAGACGAAGTTATTACAAGTGAAGTTTCGTGGAGAAAGAAGAAACAAATACATTTAAAGACAGAAGAAGAGAAAGAAATGGTTATGTTAAAACCCATTGGAGAAGTGGAAAACTTAGACCTAAAACAACCCGAAGGACATGTATTAACTTTTATAGAAGATGAAAAATTACCCGAAGAGATGTCCGAGAAAGACAGAGTTTTCGAATTAATACCCGTAAAGCTTGCGGAGCAAATAGCAGAAATTTCAGAAGAGAAAGATGAAATCATTACTGAATCAGTAACAAAATCTAAGGTAAAAGAAAAAGTGTCTGAAAAAATCGCTTCTAATATTATCGAAGAAGAAGCTACCAAGTTACAAATTAAAGCAGATATCACACAAGTAGAAGACCGTAAGAGAAAACGTAGACAACGTACTCAGGTCGACATATCAATTACAGATAAAGACAAAACGATAGCTCCAAGATTTATCCAAAAATTACAACCTGTTATCGCTGAGTTGAAAAAAACTGGTAAATTTACATGTACTGTTATAGGAAATCCATTGCCTGAAATTTCTTGGTATAAAAATGAGCAAGAACTCCATGCGAGGGAAAAATACATTATGACTATATTTGAGACAACGGCAACCTTAGAAATCACAAACGTCCAAGAAGAAGATGCTGGAATGTATTCTTGTAGGGCATCTAATCCAGCTGGCGTGGCAACATCCACTGTCTACCTTGTGATATTCGGTAATAATATTAAATATGAATTGTTTAATTTTTATGATTTGGATTTATTTTAATATTTACTTACGTAAATATTAAATTTACTTACGTTGTTTGATATTTTTACTTGCTCTATTAAATTTTTTTTATAGATACAGGAATATTATGAGATATATAATTCTTATAATCTCAAGTTAAATTCCACAAAATTTTATGTATTAGATGTACAACTTTGCTTCCGCCGTTTTTTCCGAAATTCGAGGCTTTATTGTAAAAAACTGGTTATACATTTATGATTCAAAGTATTGTCCATCGCTGGCCACTACTTTCTCCCATCTTTCGGGCAGCGTACGAATCCCGCGTCGAAAAAACTGGTCATCTTTTGAGGCGATCCACAAATCGATCCAATTTTTTACTTCTTCATAAGACCGGAAGTGCTGGTCAGCCAGGCCGTGTGCCATTGATTGAAACAAGTGATGGTCAGAGGAAGCAACGTCTGGAGAATATGGCGGATGGGGTAGGACTTCCCATTTCAACGTTTCCAAGTATATCTTAATCACTTTCGCAATATGGGATCGAGCATTGTCATGCTGCAAAATCACTTTATCGTGTCTCTCGTTGTATTGCGGCCGTTTGTCCTTCAATGCTCGGCTCAAACGCATCAATTGCGTTCGATACCGATCGCCTGTGATTGTTTCAGTCGGTTTTAACAGCTTATAATACACTACGCCGAGCTGGTCCCACGAAATACAGAGCATGACCTTGGAGTCGTGAATATTCGGTTTCGGCCGTCGACGTGGAAGCATGGCCGGAACTCCCCATGATTTTTTGCGCTTGGGGTTATCGTAATGAACCCATTTTTCGCCCCTAATCACAATGCGATGCAGAAATCTCTTCCGTCTTTGCCTTTCAAGCAGCTGTTCACAAGCAAACAAACGCCGTTCAACATCTCTCGGCTTTAACTCGTACGGCACCCAATTTCCTTGCTTCTGAATCATTTCCATAGCTTTGAGGCGTTTTGAAATGGCTTGTTGAGTCATTCCCAATGATCGTACCAATTCTTCTTGATTTTGACACGAGTCTTGATCAAGTAATGCCTCTTCGAAAACCTTCTCTCTTCCACCGCTATGCCGGTCTTCGACGTCAAAATCACCGTTCTTAAAGCGTTGAAATCACTCACGACACGTTCTTTCACTAATAGCAGCCTCACCAAGTATTTGAGAGCATTCGATGAGCCTCAGCAGCAGATTTCTTCATATTGAAGTAGAAAATTTGGCCAGCGATGGACAATACTTTGAATCATAAATGTATAACCAGTTTTTTACAATAAAGCCTCGAATTTCAGAAAAAAACGGCGGAAGCAAAGTTGTACACCTAATATATATATATATATATATAAATAATTTTTAAAATAAGAAGTAACATCCATATATAAATATAAATAGATTAACAATGATTTACGGGATAACTAATATAAAGTAGTTGTATGTGCGACGTATGATAATTTTAAATATTAAATATCTCATATTTTCAAGAATGTAAAATATCTATCCTTTCAGAAAAAGAAGAAGAAGGCATAGCACCGCATTTTTCAACGCCGATTAAACCGTTAATGATTGAAGAGCATACACCTGCTTTATTAGAATGCGTTGTAAGCGGTATACCAATACCTGAAGTGAAATGGTATCGTGACGAAAAAGAAGTAAAACCAAATGAAAGAACGGAGATGAGTTTCAACCCAACTACTGGAGAAGCTAAACTGAAAATTTTAGAACCAATGCCCGAAGATGAAACAATTTATCGTGTTCGTGCTATAAATAAATATGGCCGCGCTGAATGCAGAGCTAATTTAGTGATCAGTAACATCGTTAAAGTGAGCAAACCAATTGTTCTCAGAGCACCACGAATTACACGACCTTTGTCCGCTTTAATAATTGAGCGCGGAAAGTCTCTGAAACTTCTAGCTGATTTTGACGGCATACCGAAACCAGAAGTCAAGTGGTTCCGCAATGGTATTGAAATTACACCGACTAACAAACGCAAAATAGACATTTATGAAAGTACAACCGAATTAAATATAATAGAAGCAACAAACAAAGATAGCGGCAAGTATGAGATAAGAGTTCAGAATGAAGTCGGTGAAGCGAGAAGTTCGAGTTCTGTTACTGTTAAAGAACGTAAAGACACTATGGACGAAGTAAAAGCACCAATGTTTGTGGAACCTATTCAGCCTCAACTTGTTGCAGAAGGAGAAGTTGTTATCATGGAAACACGAGTGGAATCATATCCAGCAGCATCTTTTCAGTGGTTCCATGAAAGCAAACCTCTTCAGGTACTTTTTCCAATTTCTATGCTTGTTTAAAATAAACCTTTAATGCTTGCATGTAACGGAATATCATCCAAAATTTCATCAAATTAATAAAAGATATAATTTGTTGTAGTCGACACCACAAGTAAGAATTGTGACTCAAGAAAATCGATCGATCTTAATGGTGAAAGAAGTCACATCAGAATTTGCTGGCAATTACACATGTCGTGCTGAAAATGTTGGTGGTTCGATTACTTGTACAGCCACCGTTAATTTAATGGAAATAACATGGGAAGAAGCAATTGAATTAGTCTCACCGACATTCGTAAAGAGACTCTCACCTGTAAAAGTTATGGACGGTGAGAGTGTTAATTTAACCTGCGTCGTTGAAGGAAAACCAACGCCCAGAGTAGAATGGTATCACAACGATATGCCAATTAAAGAAGGAAAAGAAATTACAATTATTCAGGATATGGAGGGTGTCTGTAGTTTAGCTATTACCGAAGTATTCCCGGAAGATGCTGGAGAATATACCTGTCATGCTGTGAATCCTGTTGGCGAAACTGTCTGCATGTCAACGCTTGTTGTTGAAGGTATATTATTCGACGCAAACAGCTATGGTTTTAAACAGCTATCTATTTTACAAAATTTACTTTTTTAGCGTACGAGTATGTGCCGGATTCTGAAATTGCATCTTCAATAGTCGCGACATCTCTTACCACAGGACAGAGTGGATCAGAAGAAGATCTTCTATCTCCGAAAGTAAATACAAAATCTAACATATCCAACAATATATTCTATAGAATTATACTTGGTATAATATTAGACATATTGAAATTGATTTTGACTTTAGGAAACTCCTATCTTCGACACTGATATAGAAGAATCTGTACCAGAGATAATTAAGAAGCTTCCTCAGTTAGTTCCTACTAAAAATGGGGAATTAACTAGGTATGTTTAATACATTAAACGAATGATAATCAAATACGAATTAATATGTACACCTGATAAAAAAGTTTATATATAATTAAATATATATGTACATATACGAGTATACATAATTATATACAAAAATCTATATATATATATTTTCTTTCTCTTGTATAATTTCTGTTTGCATGTGTATATGTTATGGGAAATTTGATGAATTCGGGCATAATACTTTAATAAAGCAGACATTATCCATAACGCTTTTTAAGCTTTCACGAGTATTATCTTCAAAGATACCAGAAGGTTTGCGGATTATTGCCATTATTAATGCCAACATTTTGTGAACCTTGCCGTTCACTTTATCAGAACAAGGAGCGCATTAATACTTCTCGCTCTGATCAGTATGCCCTGATGAAGTGAACAGCAAGGTTCACAAAACGTTGGCATTAGCAATGGATAAAAACACGGCAATAATCCGCAAATCTTCTGGTATTTTTTCAGACATTATCCATACTGGCAAGCCGTTATATATATAAATCCCGAATTAGTTACCCAAAAAAATGTAACTACGTTACCATTACAGTTACAAAAAAAAAAGTAAAGCAGTTACCAATAAAGTTATCAAAAAAGTAACTTGTAACTGTAACTTCGTTACAATTAAAGAGTTATTTCCATTGCCTGTTTATAATTACATATATTTATATTTTATTATACATAAATTTTTTTATCACGTACGCATATATGTTATGTATACATATATGTTATGTATATGTTGTGTATATATGTGTTCATGTGTGACTGTCATTTTTGCCACATATACAGATTGGAAGTAAAGGTAAAAGGCAAACCAAAACCGAAAGGAAAATGGTATAAAGAAGGAGTAGAAATAGTCTCATCGCAAGAATTCCAAATTGAGGAATTTGAAGATGGTACATCAGTATTAACAATCGCCGAAACTTTCCCCGATGACACTGGTGAGATCATATTTGAAGCTTACAATCCACTCGGTGTATCAACTACAACTACGTATTTATCAGTGGAAGGTAATATCATTTTCTCTACAGATCTCAAAGGCTTTACTAATCTGGTAGTGTTAAGTCGTATTATTTTCAGCCGCGCTCTTCAATCGGAGAAGCGTCGAAGCTCTGTAGCATCCTAATAAAAAGCCGCTCATTATCCTACGTTCCTTACATCAACTACAACAAACACTTACAATATCCTCGACTTACATTGTCTTTTGTCTTATTTTTTATATATTTCAAGCAAATTTACTAATCTCTTTGGTCTTGCCCAAATTCTTCTATCTAAATGCTAATAAGATAGAAAGAATTTGATATACATTCGTTATATGTTTCTTATATTCGTTTTATCGATTAGGTATACTCGGAACAAAAGAGTACAGAAAACCAGAGTGGGTCACACAGATGGAAGAAATGCAAGAGGCTTTAAAAGGTAAGAAACTCATGTAAAACTCATATTTATTATCTCAACACGCTCAATTGCATGCCGCATGATGCAGAGTGCAGTTTCTCAAGAGATAGTCTGAATAACATTGTGCATTAAGAAATAAATAAGCTTAAAAAGAGCTTAACTGTGACCAGCGACTTTTCAACAAAAACCTTTATCACAATGATGCCACATTACTTCTTGATGACAAAGATAAAACTTCTTCAAAAGAATATTTTTTGTTGACAAGATATTCAGATTCTATGGATACTGACAAAAAAATAATATTGCGATACAATATTCTTGGCAAGTAGATGTTTCTTATAAGGAACAACCTCCAACAATATTTGATTCAGTAAGGAATTACAAGAGAAGAAGCAAGATAATGAACCTAAAACATAAGTATTTTTCATATATAACGTTAATATAAAATAAAAGAAATCCACTTGTCAATTTTGTACTTATGTTAGTAAGGTAGTAAAACATGATTTTGCTATCGAACACATTGTGGGTCCTACATTCCACGTTCGCAACGCTCATGGAATCATTTCATTCTTGTTATTTATCAAATGTTAAAGAACAAATAAAACTCGCGAGTGTCATGAGCGTCAAATGGAATGTACCTTATATCGTCATTTAGTAATCGAACTGAAACACATGATGTAAGAATATCAGGTGTGACAATCCCGAAGGTACGTAGTGGATGACCAATCAGAAATTGACTCCAAATTCTGTAAGCCAATATAAAACCGTTATTAGAAATTCGTCACCACTCAGAAATTAGCCACAAATTACATTTAGCCGCCATTATGCGCAATAGCATACCTTGTGATAATTCCTGCAATAAAGCATGAAGAATATAAAAAAGTTGCAGTAAAAATATTAAACGTGTCAAAACAATTATCTTCTATCAAAAAAGAAGATGCCAAATATAATGTTCAAAAAAAAGTTATCGGTAAGTCGCTTTGCAATTATCCTTTAGTAATAAAGACATGTTTAAAAAACATGTGAACAATGATTCGATATTTAAGGAAAAAGTCTCGATATATTGATAAAATGCAGAAAAAAGAAAATCATTATCGATTTTTGTGAATTCCTATCGTCAAAGTGCGGGAAAAACTTACGAATAATACCACTCTGGTAAATAAATAAATTCTCCAGAGAAAAATCACCGTTCTATTTATTATTAATCGAAAAAAAAAAATTAAAGTGCCAAACATGTATGATCAAAAAATAAACACAAAGATATTTAAAAACCACATTCCCGAATAACTTGTAATTCAATTGACTTCATTCATGACTATAAAAGAAAATATCAAATACATATATCCCAAGTCTAAGATTCCTGTTTCAAAATGCTCCAAAACTCAAGGGTCATAAATCCACTGATATTCCCATTAGAGTAGAAAGAAATTGAGTTGGAATCTTTCCAACAATTAAATACAGTGGATAGTTAAGAAGAATTACAAGAATTTTTGCTATTTAAAAGTTAATGCGACGGAAATTTTGGATTAGCGGATAATACATCTACATCTTATATAGAATATTGCATCAAAGATGAAAGAAGTCCGATGTCAGGTAGAATTCGTTTCAAGACTAACGATAGAGACGCATCATTTAGAAGTAACCGGTGTATGATTTTTCATATGTGTTTATCTAACTAGACTACTGACAAGACAAAATTAATTTAGATAATCTTGGCGTTAAACATAAAATTTTGTAAGAAACTAATTAATAATTAAGAAACTAATGTATTTTTATTGTGATGTTTTCCATAATTGCGTTTCATAACATTTCAGCTACACAAGCTGTTCCACGATTTATCCAAGAAATAACGGACATTTATACAAAAGAAGGAGATATCGCTTTGTTTGAATGTACCTATTCTGGTAATCCCAAACCAGGTAATTACTTACACATCGTAAAGATTTTTAAATTTAGTTATAAAGTTGTTTTAATTAATTATTTCTTTAATTTATAGATGTTGTTTGGTATAAGAATGATAAGCTTATAATGAATACGAACAATGTAAAAGTACGTATATTTGATAAAGAAAACAGAACTACTCTAACAATTAAGCAAACTACCAAAGAAGACGATGCCACGTATGTTTGCAAAGCTACCAATGAAATTGGTATGATAGTAACAAAAGCGAAACTTCATATCGATACTAGCGAATCACGGTTAATGCCGGGCGATATCAAAGAAGAAGAAAAGCTAGATATAAAGCTTAAAAAACAAGAAGAGAAATCGCATAGAAAGAACAAAATTGATCTAAAGAAGGCGAAGGAGATCAAAGAGAAAGTAAAAACTGAACGCCTCAAAATTGAGAAAGAAGAAGTCCGTGGAGAGAAACTTATTCCGAAGGAACAGATAGAAAAAAAGTCAGTAATCTTTTATTTCATCTTGTTCAGTATATTCCAAAGTCTTTAATTTGTTCTATTTTTAAATTATAATTTTTGCCGTTTGTATTTGCAGAAGAACTATCGATGTTGAAGAGACTCAACTATTAGAAACTACAGAGTTTATAGAAGATAAACCCGAAGAGGTATTGTAAGATGTTCAATTTTTATAGTTACATCTCTTTTACAAAGTATTATTTATTTTGCATTTACATTTTAGATTTCTAGAGCACGAAGAATAGTACCGATCCAAGAACCAATTGTAACTGAAGCAATAGCTTCTTTAAAAAAAATTGACGATCAAAAACTACGAGAACATATAACTAAATTTGAAGAACGTGCCACACAAATTGTCGAAGAGCAAGAAAGTGTTGTCGTGTCAGAAATCACGAGTGAAGATATTGCTCCTGATTTCGCTATCGAAACAAAACTTGATCACGCTCAAGTTACCTCAGAAACTTTACAGAAAGTTGCAGTCTCTGAAGCACGTGTAGAAAGTAGTTTGCAAGAAACGAAACGTATAGAAACAAGGCAAAAAAAGATAAAGAAAATAAAAGCTGAAAAAATTAAAGAAGATATTACTGTAAAAGAGATTGTGGAGCGACAAAAAGAAAACATAGCTCGGGAAGTCGATGAGATAATGGAGGTACTTGATGCGACAGAATTTGGTCCGGGAGAATCTCCTCTTCGAGAACTCGCGACAATTGGCTACTTGGTTCGACAAGGTGTTTCCGTAAACGAAATTAACGAATGCCTTTACAAGACTGAGATTTTTCCTGCTCTAAAGACTCCCGATGCTCAAAATGCTTTGGTTCAATTGGTGGAAAGAAAAGGCCATGGTCCCTTGATCACCCAAGTACTTACCGAGGAGACGACAACTGACGAAAGTTTCGTTGCTGCAACAGTCGGTTTTCGTGCTTTTATGAGAATGGTTGAGCTTCAGCATGCAACTGTGGAAGAAATCATTATACACTTTGCTCCAGAAGATTTCAAACCACGTGCTTGGGAAGTTACAGAAGTTTCCGAGGTACAGATATGATATCCAAACATTATATAAATTTCTAATAATTATTAGAAAAAATACTGTATCTTGCTCTCCATTTTCCTTAATAAAATACACGTTATTTCAAAAAATAATAATTTTTTTTTTGTTTCTTTGCTCAGGTTGATACTGAGCAACATGCTACGGAAAGAGTAGATATCGTTCGCAAAATGGAAGTTCATTTTATAGGTAAGCCAAATTGTCAACTTTGTGATTTATTCATACAGATATACTTTATTCATTACATACGTATATAAGATTTGGATTTATTTGAATATTTCTTTAATATTTCTTCGATATTTTCGTTATGTACACGTTGTTTTTCGTATAAAGAATAAATCATACTAAATTTTCAGATAGAATAAGTATTTTTTATTGCAGAGAGGGAGGACGAAAGAAAAGCTACTCACATACAGGATATTCGAGAAATTAAAGGTTTGGAATAATAAATATTGACGTATATATTAGATATCTATTTGTATAACTTACCAATTTAATAAATTGATTTTTCGCTATAATAAATATGCTATTACTATTATTTGATTATAGTTTTATAGTTAGAACAATTAACGCTACATTACATGTACTTGTAATTTTAATTAATTTAATTCAGGATGGATACAAGTCTCCATTTATACCTAGTATCTTATATAAAAAAGCAATATGCTTTTAAATCTCTCTTTATGTTATAATAATTTTGCAGAAATTAAAGTTTTAATTAAAAAATGCTATATTTTTTTATATTTTAAAAATATCTTTTTATTTATACATAAAAATATTAACACAGAGAAAAACAATATACTAGAACAGGATGTTCACGGTAACCTTCACTGTTTTATTATGTTTTCAGATGTATGAAGCTTTACTTGATCGAATAACAGCTGTGCAATTTTTTCACTTATGCCGCTATGCTTTCCACACGCGACAAATCCTATTTCCTTTTCTAATACAATATACAATATTGTCACATTTTAATCAGCTACTTTTCATATCAGCTTCGAAATCAATGCTTCACTCAATGCTCATTTGCGCTGCACTGATTGTGCCTTCAAATGTAAGTTTTACCGATACCTTACTCAACAGAAAATAGTATGAGACATAAGAATGTAGCATGCTTATAAAATTAATAACGTTACAGTCTACTAAATTTACAATAAATTTTACACGTTTCTGAAAATCCAAACACTTGTTACTTGTTTGTTTATGAGCACGTTCTTATCGTAATCAAATACACGCTCTATAGTCATGGAATAAAGTATGCAAGATATAAAGTATGTGCGTGAGTGCGTGCGCGTGCGCGTGTGTGTGTGTGTGAACGCAAGAAAATAAAGACATCACGCAACACTCACGTCTGACACAAAATTCTCACATACTTTCCACAGAATACGAGGACACACGGCAGGCACACACAACATTGCGCAAACGCAAAGATAAAAAACCAAGGGATCAAATTGAAGAAACAACACAAGATAGGGAAGAGGGGGTTCAATCTATAAAAATCGAGGAAGTCGAGGAGATTGATAAAGAAAGAAAAAAGGAAGAAATCGAAGAAGAGATTATTGAACTCGAACGAGATTCAAAGGGCAGATTGATTCGCAAACAAAAACAAAAAGAAATAGAAAAACAAATAAACATAGAAGAGGAAGAAGAAACTATTAAAAAAATTAGAAAGACATTAATACCAAAAAGATCAAACATCGGTAGAAATGAGATACAACTGGAAGAGATAGAAGAATTTGAAGTAACAAAAGATCAATTACTGCCGTCTATGGTTTTAAATGTATCTAGTCAACGAAATCAAGTAATACCATTAGATCATACAATCGAACAAGCACCTGGCAAACCCGAATCAGAGAAAGCTAAATTCACATTAGACACTGTTATCGCGCTAATGGAACAAATGACATCAGTACACGAAAAAGAAATTGATCAAGTAGCAAGTACCAAACCTATCGAACATAAAGCGTCAATATCAATCTCATCGATAGAACCATATTCTACCATGGAAACTACTGCACATATATCTACTGATGAATTTTTTGGATCTTTCAAAACTACTTCTTATGAAGCTACACCTTCTGTAATAACGAAAGAAAGTCTTCTCATCAGCGAAACACTGACTCACGATGAAAGTGTGTCAAATCTAACTTTGATCACACCAGAAACAAGTCGAAAAGCGGATGTGCAGGTCACTGTGCAAGAAGCTACAACTATTAGAGAGACCATAGTTAATCAAAGCGAAATACCGACCGAAGATTTTATAACACCTTTAAGCGTTAAAGCAGGAGACATTGTCTTACCACAAATATCACTTTCGGTTTATGAAATACAAGAAGGTTTGGTTGAAAATAAATTGGAACCTACGAAAACGGTACTTACAAAACCTCGAGTTAACATCAATGCAATAGAACCGTTGATAGTAGAAGAAATTCATTCTGAGGATAAACCAGGAAAATATTATCCGGAGTTAATAGTACCTACTGAAGTCGCTACCAAATCGATAATTTCGCAACGACAACGCGTTACCGAAGAGATGAATGCACCCGAAAAAGAAGGAGCATACATTCCAGGTAGATTACCACCGAGTCAAACGGCTCAAATTGAAATTTCCTATGGAAATGAAACGGCTATTATTCGTCATGATCTCGTACAGGAGCGTGAAGGCGAATATATTCCCGAGCGTAAAGTGGATTCTTTCGAAGTTACTCCAAATATCACTCTTTTGGAAGGAATCACGATATCAATGATCGATACTCAACAAAAAGAAGATAATTTGACAATCGAAGATAGTAAACAAATCACAGCTGACTTGAATGTCGTTGAAATTATGTCAGCTGTGACGGTGGAAACGATGACATCTGAAAAAGAACAAGATTATCATCCTGAAGAAAAGCCTACTACTAAATTAGCCGTTACATCGATTTCCCCATTGGAGATTGGTTCTGTAACAGACACAATTGTTCAAGAATCTGAAGGAACTTATAGTGTCAATGAGAAACCGTTCGAAGTATTGGCGGAAACATCAGTCAGACCGGAGGAACACATATTGATATCTCAAGTTCAAACCGCAGACTATCCCGCGGATTTGAAAGATATACTCAAGTATGTTACAGAGAGCGGTGTTGTATCCATTCAATTAACCGAAGCAAAAACTGTCCTTGAAACGCTTATTCATGATCGAGAGACTGGCATGAAGGAAGATACTAAACCGGAAATCCATACGATCGAGACGATCTACGATGCAATCAGAGGTATTGAAATATCGCAAACAACTTTTGGAGAAAAAGAAGCCGAATTGAAAATTTTTGAAATGCCTGAATCACATCGCGGAAAAACGGTACCTACTCATCCAATGATCTCGCTTGAAGTTCAGGAAATCCAACCTGAAAATAATTTAGGTAAAGTCATGAAAGAAGCCGTATCAACTGCTACAGCTCAAATCGAAACAGTCAGTCTTCAAGAAATAATTATTGATGAGACTGTTGCAGCAGAAGATGTAGCTCCGACGAGGAAAGATAAGACTCCTGAAACAATGATCGCCGTTATTTCAATGAATCAGATTGAGAGCTTGCACACTACAATGATTGTAGCGGATGAAAAAGAAACTGAATATCTTGATACAACCGATGTTAAAAGTGCGTTTGCAAATACTGAATATATGACGCAAGTGGCTCCTATATACGAACAAGTAAAGATAGAATCGCCGACCGAAGAGTACCTAGCGGTAGACAAACCTGTGAGTGGAAAAGCATATCCATCTCATATTCCTATAGAAACTATCAGTATCGTTATGCAAGAAACCGCAGAAAAGGAAGATGTTTATAAAACAGACATAAAACCCAAGGAAAAGATGGTGAACATTAAACTCACGGATACGAGGCCTGGCGCCAGCGTTCTAGAAATAATTCCACATGATCTCGAAAATATTTACACGCCAGATACTGGACCACAGACTCATACGGTTGAGTCGTCCATAACTGGTCACACCATCGCGTCAAAGGCAGAGATCTTAGTGGAACAAAGTGCTGGAAAAATAAGCAGTGATCTACCAAAATCAGGTAAAGCAATAATACAACAAGAAGCTCTGGAAGAATTGATAGTAACAGAAACAAATGTCGGCGAAGCAGAACGAATCAGGGATGAGGATGCGAGTCTTGTTAAACAAAACGCCGCACTTCAAGTATGCGCTCAATCTGAAAATTTGACCGTCACTGAAGTAACTACCGTATTGAAGGAGGAAGAATTATTAATGAAAAAGTTACCAGACGAACAAAGAGTTGTGTTAGACATAACCGAGGGCCATGAAATAGCTGAAACACAGGAGATGATTCTTGCGAGCAATATAAGTGCATTGAAAGAAGAAAAACCACATCAAGAAAGTGTCAATCAATTGCAGAGCGGACTAGATGTTGTACAACAAATGGAAATATCAGTATCTGAGAAAGAATCTCCTTTAGAAACGGATGTAAAACCTAATATTAAAAAGGTTGGTATTACTTTTCAAGAAGGAGAAAGTCTGACAATTGAAATTACGCATCCTGAAGACAAAGAAGATATACTTGGTGAAAAACAGACGCCAAAAACAGCCGAAGCTACAATAGACGTAGTAACACAAAATATAGCCTCGACATTTGAAATTGTTAGTGGCGTCGTTCCAATTGAATTATCTACCAAACCTATCCAAGATGCACGTCCTAAAGCGACATTATTACCATTTGAAACAGTCGTTGCTGAAGAAGTGCAAACAAGAGAAACTGAAAAGCCTTTTCCTCATATGTTGGTACCAGAGAAAAAAGCTAATTTTAAATTTGTAATGGGTGAAGTTCTTGTTGTTTCTTCTGTAACAACGGGTGACAAAGAAAGCGTGTTTGCAGAAATGGAAAAACCACAATCAAAATCTGCTACTTTCGATATTCCTACTTATACCGTGGCAGAAGCGACTGAAATAACCGCAACTGACAACATTAGTGAATTAATGCGCGAAGAAACGATTTCCGCAATGGCTATGACCGAGCATATAACTCATCATAGTATCGTTACATCCGAAATGTCAACCGGTGACTTAGAACAGCGTATGCTTGATTTCGTCAAACCAGATAAAAAGAGAGTGGATATATCGTTCGAAGAAGAAACAAGCATAACAGTGACTGAAACAATTACATCTGATAAGGAGCGAGAATATTTGAAGAAACCGGATATTCCAGGTGAAAAAATTAACACCAGCTTTGACGCTCATAAAATAGCTGAACTTACTGAGATTACACTAGCCATTTATCCAGGAGACCTCAATGTGAAAACACCAGAGACAGCAGCAGCAAAAGAGGAACGTTTGCCGTTTGAGAGTATTATTCAAAGCGAAACTATTGCAACAGAAACAGAAATAGAATTTCAAGATAAACAAACCAAAACCGACACTGCTCGAATATCCGTCGATGAGATTATCAGTGCTACTATGTCTACTGAGATTTTAGGCGAAAAGGAAGATATTCTTCAAATTCCCGAAAAACCAACAGAGAAAAAAGCTGAGATTCAATTTGCCGGACATATTATTGCTGAGAAGAGTGAAATCACTCCAAATTCTAGCGCTGGAGAATTGATAGAGACAAAACCGACTTCTATTTCAGCCATATTCTCGAATATTCCGTTAGAGGCAATAGTAGCAATAGAAACTCAACCAACGGAAATGGAGACCATACTCAAAAAAGATAAAATACCATCGATGGTTGAAGCTGATCTTTCCATGATAACGGAACAAAGTGTACAGGTATCTTCGGTAATTTCAGAGGATAAAGAAACAGAATATAAGCCGAAGGAAATACCAAAAACAAAAACAGCAGAGAAAGCTCTAATCGGAACTCATGGCGTCGCCGAAATAACAATACAAATTGCTAATTTTAGCACTGGTGAAATTGTTACTGGCGAAGCGCCACAGGTTGCCGTCGCAATTCCAGATCATATAGTGTTTAATCCACTAGTAGAATCACAACTTGTTATTCAAGAAGGAGAAGAACAATTTACGCCAGCATTAACGCCGGAAAATAAAATTGTAAACATTGCTATGGAAGAAGGTAAAGTCATCGCGAGTATAAAACATATAACATCAGCAGATAAAGAATCGACATATATCGTCGAGGAACAACCGCGTCAACACGCTGCTTCATTCGATATCGATGCTACTCACAGTATAGCAGAAACGACCGCGGTAGCTATTGAACATTCTGTAGGAAAAGTAAACATTAAAAAACCAGACGTTAAAATCGTATCACCTACACATGAGGTATATCAAAGTCTTTTAGTAACTGAAGACATGATTCAAGATCAAGAGAAACCCTTCAAAGACAAATTCACGCCAGAAATACACAAAATAGAATTATCTGTCGAAGAAGGTAAGCGCGTTACCTCTGTTACGGAAATTAAAATAGCTGACAAAGAAGCTCCCCTTGAAACATTACAGGAAGATAAATCTCGCTTGGCACTCTCGGTTATTGTTCCTGGTCACGAAGTCGCTGAGAGATCTGAAATAATTACCAGTTTAAGTACAGGTGAAATGAACGAAATTATAGTACCAACAAAAGTAACCGCGCTAATTGGTCAAAAACCGTTTGAGACAGTACAATTCTCCGAACAAACCTTAGTGGAGAAAGAAATAGATAGGATTCAGAAAACGCCATTAACAAAAACAAAAGCGCATGTTATTTTAGATGAAAATAGATTTGTTGCCATTACAGAATCTATTAATGCTCAAAACATTGAAAAGGAATTTACTACAAAGAAACTTCGTCTTGAAGCGGCAAATCTTTTAATGGAAGGTAAAGAAGTAGCTGAACGAACGGAAATAAATTTACGCGAAGAACTCGGAGAATTACCTTCAGCAATGAAACCGATTGTATGCGAAGCACATAAAACACAATCTACTTTGGAAGGTATTGACGTCAGCGAAATGGTTCCTCAAGAGCAAGGTGCAATATTCACTGATAAATTCAAACCCGATAAGCGTAGTGCCGAGATTAGCTTCATCGAAGGGAAAAGTATTACCGTAGATCATATCTTAACACAAGACAAAGAAGAAACGATGACTGTTCCGAAATATGAAGAGAGTATGGCAAGAGTAAAATTAGCAAAACTTGGTATGGATATTGCCCAAAAAGCTCAAATATTTATCGAGCAAAATACTGGACCGATTAAACCTTTCGAAAAGATACAAGCCGAAGCTCACATAAAACAAGACACATTTCAACCTATCATAGTTCATGAAGTTCCAAGTGCGGAAAGCGAATGTACTTTCGATAAGTATCCGAAGATAATATTCAGTATAGCTATGCCAACATTCGAAGAAGGCCATGGTGTATTTATTACGGAGATAACATCTGCCGAAGTCGAAGCATCATTGGAAGAGAAGAGACATGAAATATCGCGAACAGCTGTCGATACTATTGTTACTGAGCACGATATGATAGAGACCACAATGGTAGAATCGCGAGTAGACGTATCTGAACAACCTTCAAATTATAATTCAACACCTCAAATTGCCACATCAGTTCAAGACACGTTTGAAAGCATTATTGTTAACGAGAATATTGTTGAAGAAAGCGAGAAGACTTTCGATGATCTTTTCAAACCTGCGTCACAAAAAGCGAATATTGATATAACGGAGATAAAGCCATTACAGATTTCACAAACAATTATCGAAGACAAGGAAGGGATGTTGAATATTGTTTCAAAGCGAACTGAAGTCAAAGCTACATCAGATATCGATTTATTCCAAACTATTGAAGGTTCTTTCGTAGAAAGTATACAAAATACTCGAGAGCTTCGAGAAGAAAAACCACTTTCCTCTCAAGCGACTATGATTCAGACCACGGTGGAATCAATAGTAAAGTCAGAAACAACACCAGCCGAAAGAGAAGACATCTTTGAGTGCAAATTCCAACCCGAAGGGCAGAAAGGCAAACCACAATTCGAAAGTCTTACGACGGTTGTAATTACTGAGACAGCTTCTAATGAAATCGAAGATATCTTACCTGAAGCCGTTACACCAAAACAACATCAGGCACAATTAAAGTTGACAGGCAGAGAAACCGCGGAAATTTTTCAAATAGTAACAGCAAATACAACCGAAGATTTTGCAAAATCTACTAAATTATATAAACAAAGAGGTAAACCAGGACTCGAAGAATTGTCATCCTTAACTGTTTCCGAAATTATTTCCAATGAAGTTGAAAATCTTTTAGCTAGTAAAGTTATTCCAAAAGATAGCAAGGCTGATTTCAATATTTCTGGTAGAGAAGTCGCTGAAACAATTGAAGTAACAACATTATCCGAGACCAATGAACTTGCTATAGGAGGACCTGAGGAACAGAAAGGCAATCAACAAATCAATGAATTAATTCCACTGACTATTTCACAAGTAATTTCTAATGAGGCCGAAGAAACATTAATTAGCGCTAAGCTTCCTGCGGGGAAAACAGCACAACCAAATATGTTAGGTAGAGATATCGCGGAAACAACACTAGTTTTAACAATGACTAATGCCGAAGAACTCATTCCTAAAAAAGAAACCGAAAAACAGAAAGGTAAACCCAGTCTCGAAGAATTCATGCCATTAATAGTTTCACAAACAGAATCTCAAGAAACTGAAAATGTTCTTGATAGCCCCAACATACCAACTGAGAAAACGGCGCAAACAAGTTTATATGGCAGAGACATAGCAGAAACTACAGAAATAACGACTGCGTTAAGTCTAAATAAATTTGTTAAACTTCAAAAGCCCGAAATACAAAAGGGAAAACCAAATCTCGAAGAATTATTATCCTTAAGTATAACGCAAATTGTATCCAGTGAAGCGGAAGCTCTAATGCCTAGTCCGGAAATACCTATGGAAAAAATGGCGCAAACTAATTTATCTGGTAGAGATGTAGCTGAAACTAGTCAAGTTTTAACGATGATGAGCACAGAAGAACTTTCAAATCAGATATCACCTGACGAACGCGAAGGGAAAGTACAAGTAGAAGAATTATTGTCCTTGACTATATCTCAAATATTATCTCATGAAACCGAAGAAACTTTCGAGAGTTCCATTGCACCTAATAGACTCACTGCGGTGCCTACGATGTCTGGTAGAGAAATTGCCGAGACTTCTCAGGTGCTTACTGTCACAAATGCTGAAGAACTTTCAAGACCTAAAAGTCCAACAAAACAGAAAGGTAAACCACAATTAGACAAACTTTCCTCACTTTTGGTTTCTCAAGTAATATCTACAGAGACAGAAGCACAACTGTCAAGTCTAGAAAAATTAGAGGAGAAAACAGCTATACCATGTTTCTTAGGTAGAGAAATAGCTCAGAAAATCGAAATTATAACCGCTGCAACTGTAGAACAAATACCCGAATTGAAGGAAATAAATAATCAAAAAGGAAAGCCAAGCATTGAACAAATGAGTTCTGTTACTGTGTCTGAGGTAATTTCTACGGACACAGAACAAGAATTACCGAGACCAGAGATTCCAAAACAGCAAAAAGCTCTTCCAAAACTACCCAGCATAGAAGTCGCGGAGATGTCAGAAGTTTTGACAGTGAGTAACGTTGAAGAGCTTGCAAGATCACAAGTTCCCGAAGAACATACAGGTAAACCAAACTTAGAAGAACTAATGCCATTGTCGATCTTTGAAGTATCTTATAATGAAGCAGAAAAAGAATTACTTACACCAGATGAACCAACTAAACAAATAGCCGAAAAAACTATGCTAGGCATGCGCGTTGCCGAGAAGTCACAAGTATTTTCGTCGTTGACAACGGAGGAGATGGCAGAGTTAGCTAAACCTTTGATAAAAAAACTAACACCAGAACAAATACCATTTGAGAGTATACAACAAATTGAGTCAATTATTCATGAAAGCGAAAGTTCATTTCTTCCCGATAAAAAGACACCAAGTACCACAGCCGAAGTTTCATTCGGCGTTTCTGAAGGTGTCGAAATTATTCAAATAACCGCAACAGAGAAGGAAACAAAGGAAGTTGTCAAAAACCTGGAAGAAGCAGCTAAACAGACAGCTGAGCAAAGAATGCAGAGCATTCACGTTGCAGAAAATACTCAGGTGATTACATTGTCAACAACAGAAGAGATGATGACATTTATTAAGCCAGAGATAAAGAAAATAATACCCGAACAAATACCGTATATAAGCATACAGCAAATTGAATCAATTTCTCACGAAAGCGAGCATTCGCTTCTTCCTGATAAGAAAACACCAAGTAAAAAAGCCGATATTTTATTCCGCGTTTCCGAAGGCGTCGAAGTTTTCCAAGTAACTGCTACGGAGAAAGAAGCAAAAGAAGTAATAAAAAGTTTGGAAGAAGCAAATCAACAAATAGCCGAGCAGAGCATGTTAAGCATGGGCGTTGCAGAACAGTCACAAGTAATTGCATCGTCAACAACAGAGAACATGATTGAATCCGTTAAGCCGGAAATAAAGAAATTAATACCAGAACAAATACCGTTTGAGAGTATACAACAAACTGAATCGATTTCTCATGAAAGAGAAAGTTCGATTGTTTCTGAAAAAGATACAGCCACTGCAACGGCCGATATTACATTCCGCGTTTCTGAAGGCATCGAAGTTATTCAGGTAACTACTACGGAAAAGGAAACGAAAAATATCATAGAAAGTTTTGAAAAAGCAACGAAACAGATAGCTGAACAAACCATACCGATTATGCGTGTTGCAGAACAATCTCAAACTATTACTTCATCAACAACAAAAGAGATGGTAGAATCTACAAAACCTGAGATAAAGAGAATAATACCAGAACAAATACCATTTGAAAGTGTACAACTGATTGAATCAATTCCTCATGAAAGTGAACGTTCACTTCTCCTAGATAAGAAAGTACCAACTACAATGGCTGACATTTCATTCCGCGTTTCCGAAGGAGTCGAAGTTATTCAAGTAACAGCTACTGAAAAAGAAACAAAAGAAATAGTAAAAAAAGAAAAAGAAGCAATTAAACAGACAGCAGAGCAAAATATACTGGGTATACGCGTTGCAGAACAGTCGCAAGTAATTGCGTCGTCAACAACAAAAGAAATTATAGAATTTGGTAAACCTGAAATAAAGACAATAATACCGGAACAAATACCGTTTGAAAGCATACAACAAACCGAGTCAATCCCTCATGAAAGTGAACATACACTTGTCCCTGATAAGAAGACACCAAGTACAAAGGCTGATGTCTCATTCCGTGTTTCCGAAAGTGTCGAAGTTATTCAAGTAACTGCTACAGAGGAGGAAACAAAAGAAGTTGTAAAAAGTGTGAAAGAAGTAACTAAACAAATAGCGGAGCAAGGCATATTAAGCATGTCCGTTGCTGAAAAAACCCAAGTGGTTACATCATCGACAACGGAGGAAATTAGAGAATCTTCAAAGCCTGATGTAAAGAAAATTATTCCAGAACAAATACCGTTTGAGAGTATACTACAAACCGAATCAATTCTTCATGAAAGAGAAAGTTTGCTTCTCCCCGATCAGAAAACGCCAAGTACAAAGGCCGATGTTTCATTCCGCGTTTCTGAAGGCGTCAATGTTATTCAAGTAACCGCTACGGAGGAGGAAACGAAAGATGTTACTAAAAGTGTAGAAGAAGCAACTAAACAAGTAGCCGAACAGAGCATGTTAAGCATGCCTGTTGCTGAAAAAACTCAAGTAATAGCGTCGTCGACAATACAGGAAATTAAAGAATTTTCCAAACCTGAGGAAAAGAAAGTCATTCCACAGGAAATACCATTCGAGAGCATACAACAGATTGAAGCAATTGCTAATGAAAGGGAACATTTGCTTCTCCCTGACGAGAAGACACCTAGTATAAAGGCTGACGTTTCATTCCGAGTGTCTGAAGGAGTCGAAGTTACCCAAGTAATCACTACGGAGAAGGAAACTAAAGAAATCGTAAAAGGCTTGGAAGAAACAGTTAAACAAGTCGCCGAACATAGCATGCTCAGTATGCCCGTTGCTCAAAAATCTCAAATGACTGTATCATCAACAACAGAAGAGATGATAGAATCTATTAAGCCTGAAACGAAAAGAATAATTCCGGAGCAGATACCATTTGAGAGTATACAACAAATTGAATCAATTCCTCATGAAAGAGAACGCTCGCTTCTTCCGGATAGAGAAACATCAATCGCAACGGCCGATGTTACATTCCGCATTTCCGAAGGCATCAAAGTTATACAAATAACCGCTACAGAAAAGGAAATAAAAGAAGTTGTAAAAGAAGAAACAACTAAACAAATAGCTGATCAGAGTATGTTAGGTATGCTCGTCGTAGAACAATCTCAAGTAGTTACATCATCAACAACAGAAGAGATGATGGAGCCTGCTAAGCCAGAGATAAAGAAGATAATACCTGAACGAATACCGTTTGAAAGTATACAACAAATCGAATCAATTCCTCATGAAAGAGAAAATTTGCTTCTCCCCGATAAGAAAACGCCAAGTACAAAGGCCGAGGTTTTATTCCGTGTTTCCGAAGGCGTCGAAGTTATTCAAGTAACATCCACGGAGGAGGAAATAAAAGAATTTGCAAAAAGTGTGGAAGAAGCAACTAAACAAGTAGCCGAGCAGAGCTTGTTAAGTATGTCCGTTGCTGAAAAAATCCAAGTGGTTCCGTCATCAACAACAGAGGAAATTATAGAATCTTCCAAGCCTGAAATAAAGAAAATTGTCCCAGAACAAATGCTATTCGAAGGTATACAACAAACCGAAGCAATTCCTCATGAAATCGAACGTTTGCTTCTCCCCGATAAGAAGACACCAATTACAAAAGCTGATATTTCGTTCCGTGTTTCCGAAGGTGTTGAAGTTATTCAAGTAACAGCTGCGGAGGAAGAAACAAAGGAAGATATAAAAAGTATGGAAGAACCAAACAAACGAGTAGCCGATCAAAGCATGTCAAGTATTTCTGTTGCTGAAAAAACTGAAGTTTTTACGTCATCAACAACAGAGGAAATTACAGAATCTTCCAAGCCCGAAGTGAAGAAAATTATTCCAGAACAAATACCGTTAAAAAGTATACAACAAATCGAATCAATTCCTCACGAAAGTGAACGTTTGCTTCTTTTCGATAAGAAAACACCAATTACAAAAGCTGATGTTTCATTCCGTGTTTCCGAAGGAGTCGAAGTTATCCAAGTAACCGCTATGGAGGATGAAACAAAAGAAGTTGTAAAAAGTGTGGAGGAAGCAACTAAACAAGTAGCCGAGCAAAGCATGTTGAGTATATCCGTTGCTGAAAAAACCCAAGTGGTTCCGTCATCAACAACAGAGGAAATTAGAGAATCTTCAAAGCCTGAAGTAAAGAAAATTATTCCAGAACAAATACCGTTTGAGAGTATACTACAAACCGAATCAATTCTTCATGAAAGAGAAAGTTTGCTTCTCCCCGATCAGAAAACGTCAAGTACAAAGGCCGATATTTCATTCCGCGTTTCTGAAGGCGTTAAAGTTATCCAAGTAACTGCTACGGAGGAGGAAACGAAGGATTTTACTAAAAGTGTAGAAGAAGCAACTGAACAAGTAGCCGAACAGAGCATGTTAAGTATGCCCGTTGCTCAAAAATCTCAAGTAATTACATCATCAGAAACAAAGGAAATTATAGTGTCTGCCAAGCCTGAGGAAAAGAAAATCATTCCAGAACAAATACCGTTCGAGAGTGTACTACAAACCGAATCAATTCTTCATGAAAGAGAAAGTTTGCTTCTCCTCGATCAGAAAACGCCAAGTACAAAGGCCGATGTTTCATTCCGCGTTTCTGAAGGCGTCAAAGTTATCCAAGTAACCGCTACGGAGAAGGAAACAAAAGATGTTGTAAAAAGTGTAGAAGAAACAACTAAACAAGTAGCCGAACAAAGCATGCTAAGTATGCCCGTTGCTCAAAAATCTCAAGTAATTACGTCATCAGAAACAGAGGAAATTATAATGTCTGCCAAGCCTGAAGAAAAGAAAATCATTCCAGAACAAATACCATTTGAGGGCATACAACAAATTGAACCAATTTCTCATGAAAGCGAACGTTTACTTGTTCCTGATGAAGGAATGACAAACGCAACAGCTGATGTGTCATTCCGCCTTTCCGAAGGAGTCGAAGTTATCCAAGTAATCGCTACGGAGAAAGAAATAAAAGAAGACGTAAAAAATTTGGAAGAAATAATTAAACAAATAGCCGATCAAAGCATGTTAAGCATGGCAGTTGCTGAAAAATCTCATGTGATTACGTCATCATCAACGAAAGAAATGATGGAATTCGTTAAACCTGATGTAAAGAAAATAACAGCAGAACAAATACCATTTGAGAGTGTACAACAAATAGAAACGATTCCTCATGAAAGTGAACGTTCTATTATTGTTGAAAAAGTGGTAGCAAGTACTTCAGCCGAAGTTTCATTTCGCATTTCTGAAGGTGTTGAAGTTATCCAAATAACTCCTACGGAGAAAGAAGCAAAAGAAGTCGTCAAAGGTCTCGCTAAGGAAGAAATCGCGCAAGCGGATATAATTGAACGAAAAGTTGCTCTAAAAACTGAAATTCATCCGGAAAATGTAGTATCGGAATTCAGTGTTCCAAAACCAGATAGTAAAACAGCTCATGACGTAAAAGATGAAAAGCAAAGTATAATTGTTACTGAATTGCAACACATTACTGAAATTGAATCAAATCTGTCTGAACCCGTAATTCCAATAGTACCAAAAATAGCAAGCTCATCTTTTGAAGCCGACTACTTAGAAAAAATTTTAGGTAAGTATTATACGTATAGAAAGATAACACGATAGATTGCGTTGATAATTCACACGCGACATTTGAAAAAATTCGATTCGATTAAACACAATGATCGTAACATTTAATAAGTCAAACAGATAAATTATATAAGTATGTTAGTTTATATTAATAAAAGAGTTAAAAAGAGGAATGTAATCAAAACACACAAATCAGGAATCTTTGGCATTTAATGCAAATATTTAACAAACTAATGTTCGATTTAACATTACGATTTTGTTATAGATTACCTCGGTAAGTACAGAACTAATAATACAGAGTTATAATTTACTGAAATTTAAATAAGAACACTTACCTTATATACTAATCAACTAGCAGCTGATTTCACCATGCTTCATATAATATCCATCATTTGAGTAATAAGTTATAATAAAAAATTTGTCAATGCATTGGCTGCGTTCAGTGGACTCAATAGTTAAGTAAACACTCGCTGCTATTGATGTATTCTTCCAGATTTAAAATGCTGATTGGATAATCTAAAAGAATGTACCAATAACAGCGATGGCTCACTCAACTGTTGAGTCCGCTGAACGCAGCCATTACTTGCGTCTAATACGTTGTGAAATATTATAAATACTAATACAACATCACAATTTAAATAATGCCGACAGACCAACAAAACATTTTACATACAACAATTTAATCATATACCACACTTTTTCTGTGTACATTTCAGAAACTACAGAAGCATCAGAGCAACAACATCATATCACAGTCACACAACACACCACAATACACGAAACAAAACAACCAACAAATGAATCTGATACTGAAGTAATTGAAGAATATACCACAAAATTTAAAACCGACACTAAAGAAAATGAAATGGCAGCGATTAAAACCAAGAAAACTACAATTCGTAAAAAGAAACCAAAAACTAAATCAGAAGAAAAAGTTGTAGTAATTGAAGAAGAAATAGAAGACATAAAACCACAAGTACCATCCATACCAAAAAAACAATTTATGCATATCGAAGAAGTAACAGGACAAATAGAAATAGAAGAAATAGTACCAACAAAAATTGAAGAAGTAGAAGAAACAACTCAAAATCAAGAAGAAATAAAAACGGTAGTAAAACAAAACAATGGAGATATAACAGTTATAGAAGAAAAACAATTATTAATAAGTACACCTATAGATAAACGAAAAGAAAAAATCGTTTCTCCTGTACCACATTCTAAATTCGTCAAACCCTTTGAACAGGAGGAAATAAGGAAACAAGTGACAGTGACTGAAGAGGTAATCGAAGGAAAGAAACCGAAAAAGATAATTAAAAAGAAAATCATTAAACGTAAAGGAAAGAAACAGCAGGTAACAGAAGAAACAACAATAGAAGAAAAAGGACAAATACCTGTAACAACAATTATAGAAGGTCCAGTAGAAGAAGTCATTCAAGAATCTGTTCTTTCATTATTATCTTCTGAATTCACAGAACCCCTTGAAAAGGAAGAGGTAAAAGAGGAAGTAACAGTAACTGAAATAATGGAGGAGAAGAAACCCCAGAAAATAATTAAAAAGAAAGTTATCAAACGTAAAGGACAGAGACAGCAAATGATCGAAGAAATAACTGTAGAAGAAGAAGGACGATTACCTGTAACTACAGTTATAGAGGGACCAATGGAGGAAATCATCGAAGAGATTATTCTTCCTATATCACATGTGGAATTCATCAAACCCGTTGAAGAAACAAGGGAGCAAATAACAGTGACTGAAGAAGTAATCGAAGGAATAAAACCGAAAAAGACCACTAAAAACAAAATAATTAAACGCGGAAGACAGAAAGAGCAGGTGACGGAAGAGACAACGCTAAAGGAAAAGAAACTACCTATTACTACAGATACGGAAGGTCCAGTAGAAGAAATCGTCGAAGAAACCGTACTTCCTGTACCACAACTCAAATTCGCCTTTGAAGAGGAAATGAGGAAGCAAGTAACAATAACTGAGGAAATAATCAAGGAAGAAAAATCAAAAAAGACTTCTAAAAATGAAATTATTAAAGGGCAGGAACAACAGGTAACAGAAGAGATAATAATAGATTCAAAGAAACAACTACCTGTAACAACAATTATTGAAGGTCCACAAGAGATTACTGAAGAAACTGTATTCCTTTTGCCACAGACTGAATATGCAAAGCTCCTTGAAGAGGAGGAAATAAGAGAGACGGAGCAAGTTATAGTGATTGAAGAATTAATTGAAGGGAAAAAACCAAAAAAAATCACTAAAAAGAAAGTTATTAAACGTAAAGGACAGAAACAACAAGTGACAGAAGAGACAACAATAGAGGAAAAGGGACAACTACCTGTAACAACAATTACGGAAGGTACGGTAAAAGAATTCGTCGCAGAAATCATACTTCCTCCACTACAACCTGAATTCGCTAAGCCTCTTGAAGAGGAGGAAAACAAGGAGCACGCAACTGTAACTAAAGAAGTAATCGAAGAAAAGAAACCGAAAAGAATCACTAAACACAAAATAATTAAACATAAAGGACAAAAGAAACAGGAGACGGAAGAAACAACTATAGAAGAACAGAGACAACTACCTATAACAATAGTTACGGAAGGTACAGTAGAAGAAATTGTACTTTCTCCCCCTCAACTTGAATTCGCCAAACCCCTTGAAGAAGAGGAAATACGGAAGCAAGTGATTGAAGAAGCAATCGAAGGAAAGAAGCTAAAAAAAATCACTAAAAAGAAAATTATTAAACACAAAGGACAAAAGCAACAGATGACAGAAGAAACAACTATACAGGAACAGGAACAACTACCTGTAACAGTCGTGGAAAGTCCGGTAGACGAAATCATTGAAGAAACTATACTTTCTCTACCACAATCCGAATTTGCTAAGCGCAATGAAGAGGAAGAAATAAGGAAGCAAGTAACAATAACTAAGGAAATAATTGAGGGTAAAAAACCGAAAAAGATAACTATGAAGAAAATTATTAAACGTAAAGGACAAAAACAGCAAGTGACAGAAGAGACAATCATAGAGGAAAAGGGTCAACTACCTGTAACAACAGTTATGGAAAGTCCAGTACAAGAATTTGTTGAAGAAACTATACTTCCTCTATCACAATCCGAATTCAATAAGCCCTTTGAAGAAGAAGACATAAAGGAGCAAGTAACAGTAACTGAGGAAATAATTGAGGATGAAAAACCGCAAAAGATAACTACGAAGGAAATTATTAAACGTAAAGGACAGAAACAGCAAATGACAGAAGAGATAACAATAGAGGAAAAGGGTCAACTACCTGTAACAACAATTATAGAAAGTCCAGTAGAAGAAGTTGTTGAAGAAACTGTATTTCCTCTGTTACAACTCAAATTCGATAAGCCCTTTGAAGAAGAAGACATAAGGGAGCGAGTAACTGAGGAAATAATTGAGGGTGAAAAACCGAGAAAGATAACTACGAAGAAAATTATTGAGCGTAAAGGACAGAAACAGCAAGTGACACAAGAAACAACTGTAGAGGAACAAGGACAGTTACCCGTAACAATAATTACAGAAGGTCCATTAGAAGAAATCGTTGAGAAAACTAAATATTCTATGCCACAATTCAAATTCGCTAAGTCCTTTGAAGAAGAAGACATAAGGGAGCAAGTAACAATAACTGAGGAAATAATTGAGGGTGAAAAACCGAAAAAGATTACTACAAAGAAAATTATTAAACAGAAAGGACAGAAACAGCAAGTGACACAAGAAACAACTGTAGAGGAACAAGGACAATTACTTATAACAATAGTTACAGAAGGTCCATTAGAAGAAATCGTTGAAGAAACTGTTCTTCCACTATCTCATCCCGAATTTGTAAAACCTTGTGAAAAAGAGGATGTAAAGGAGGAAACAAAAGCAACTGAAATAGTCGTTGGAAAGAAAAAACCGAAAAAAATCACTAAAAAGCAAATTATTAAACATAAAGGACAGGAACAACAAGTGACTGAAGAAGTAACTGTGGAAGAAAATGGTAAGTTGCCCGTAACATCAATTACGGTTAGCCCAATCGAAGAAATTGTTGAAGAAACTTTATTACCTTTACATCCTGATTTCGTCAAAATTGAAGAAGAAAATATAAAAACAGATACATTAATTGAAAAGCTAATAAAAGAAGAAAAATCAAAGAAGGTTAAAAAGAAAATTACTAAACAAGGAAGTACCAAAGGAATAATTATAAGTAATGAGGACAAAGAGAAACAAGAGGCAAAAGTTACAAATCTTCACGCAGACATTACACCTGAAATACACATTAAATACGATGAAATGATAAAATCTAAAATCAGTAAAAAGACTTTGGAAGGTAAGTTTGGTTTTTACTTTTAGCGTTTACTAATTCTTATGTCCTACTAAAACATACATCTCTCCTCTGCAATTCATTTTATATACACAATGAACATAGATCTCATTAAAATTGAAAGAAAGGAAAGATAAAACAACTATCGATTATTCTCTGATAATACTAATATTATACATGATATTAATATTATTAAATCACTTATTAAAACACAATTATTAAAACACAATTATCAGTTAAGAAAATTTTTAGTAATCTTTTTTTTAATCTGATTTCTTATCTTTGTTTTTTAGGTACCAGAGAAGAAGGGCTGTATCAGGTAAGCTAGAAAGAATACAAAAACGTGCTCTATTTAGTATATTATAATATATTTCATATTCTCACCATATTTTTACAGGAAGAAGAATCAATTTACGAAATACCTGAAGAAATTATAGAAGTTGTAACAAAAGAAATAGAGTTTCAAAAAGCTCAACTCCTTATACATAAAGAAGAATCGGTAGAAATTATAAAAATAGATCTCAAGGAAGCACCAATAGAAAAAGAGAAAATATTTATCACAGAAGAGAACAAGAGTATTGAAAAACCGATACAGAAAGACATTAAGACAAAAAAAGTACCAAAGAAAAAGGATGAACGTGTTAAGGTAATCGAGGAAATAAAATCAGAGGAAATGGTTGAAATGCCATCCAAAAAAATAATTAAGAAAAAGGAACATATAATAGATACTGTTGACGTTCTTGAGCAAGCCGTAGAAGAAATCCGAACGGAAATGCCAAAGAAAGAAAAGGCTAAAACTATCGTGGAAGACAGAAAAGAAACTATTACAGTTACAGAAATAGATACACAACAATCAATTGTTAAAGTACCTGAGGAGAAAATTGATCAGAAACCAATTGAAGATACTCAAATAATTGCTAAAGAACAAATAGTCGAACTTATCGAAACACCGATAGAAAAGAAAATAAAGAGAAAAAAGGGAAAATCTCATGAAGATAATGTGCTACAAGAAATTGTTGAAGAAATTGTTTTAGATAAACCAGAGATGGAACAAGCTCAAACTGTATTCACTCCTAGAGAGAGTATCGAAGTTGTGCAAATCTTAACTGAATCCTCCGTTACTAAATTCACAGAAGTTGAAGCTATACCAAGAGAAGCTGCGGTATATGAAATTAAAAAAGAAGAAAGCCCATTAAAGACAATTTTACGGGAAGAAACAAACACGATTCCTGTGCAGGTACAAATTACTATCGAAGTTACTAAAGAAATATTGGACAAAAAACCAAAAGAAGAAGAAATAAAATTGACTATTATAACAAAAGAAGGAATCCAAGTTACTGAGGCAATTCCGGACACTTCTACTGAGGATCTTCTTGAAATGATAAAACCAGTGAAAGAAATGATACTGCCAGTGAAAGAAGAGGGACCACAAGTTGATATAAAAGAAGTTACTGTAAAGAAAGCACCGAAAAGAGTTAAACCAATGCATGCAAGTAAACAAGTTAAAGAAGAAATTGTTGAAGATATTACATTAGAAAACCCAACACAAGAAAAAGCGGAAGAAATAATAATTGCAAATAAGGAAATAGAAACTACGGAAATTATTTCTAAAATTACAACCAATGAAATTGATAAAAATAAAACACAAAAAGAGCAAATTACGCTAGAAAAGATAGATGATAGTGTAAAATCAGCTATAGAAGTGAAGGAAGACCGACCAGAGGAAGCAGTAGAGGACATAAAAATGAAAAAGCCTAAGAAGGAAAAGGCTAAAAAGGATGTACTTTTACAAGAAAGTGTTGAAATTTCAGAAGTAACAACAGAAATAGTACCTGAAGAATTCATTATGGAAAAAGCGTTTGCCGAAGAGGAAGCAGAACCAAGTGTTACACCAATAGAAATTATTGAAATTACCAAAGTTGATCTAGCTGTAGCAGATGGTGAAGTAACAAAAAAGAAAAAAGCAAAACCTAGGAAGACTGACATTAAAGAAGAAAAAGAGAAAGAATTAGTTCCTATCGAAAAAGAAGAGGTCATTCCAGAAAAAAAACAGGAAGAAGAAATAGTAGAAAAAGTAATATCTAGCCAACCTAAATTAGAACAAATAAAAATAGAGAAAGGTGCACTAGAAACTACAGGAGAAGTAACAGAAATAATTCCCGAAGTTAAAATGGAAGATTCTTTAAAGGAGAAAAAACCCGAGGATGAATTGAAGCAAGTAAAAACAATACACACCGAAAAAATAAAGGAATTTGAAAAACCAAAAGAAGAAATTACGTCTACTGCAGAAGAAAAACCAATGGAGCTTAAACCCATCGAGAAAATAAAAGAAAAGAAAGTTATAAAGAAAAAGAAGAAAAAAATCATTAAGAAAGATGATATAGAGGAATGGATAGAACCTGAGTATGAAAAACCTGTATTAGAGCCAATGCCTGAAAAAATTCAATGGGAGCCAATAAAAAAGAAAAAAGAAAAGAAAATATTGCCTGAATCTGTGCAAAAATTAGTTCCACAGAAAATTGAAAGAAAAGAAATCAAACCTTCAAAATTAAAATATATTGAACCAATGCAAGAAACAGTCCAATTTGGCACAATTAAATTGAAAAAAGTGCCAATTGTTAAGAAAAGAGAAATAATTGAACCAACATTTCCTAAAATCATGTTACGAAGTAGAATTACATTTATTGATGACTATCCGGCACAATTACAAATACCAAAGGTTATGTATATAGAAGAAAATCCAATACAAGCTGGTATTTTATCTAGAAATACAGAAGAAGCATTACAAATTATAAAGAAGAAATACAAAAAACCTAAAGTCTTCGAGAAAGATTTGATTGAATTAGAAAAATTAGATAAAAAGTTTGAAGAACTAAAAAAAGTTCCTTTAGAACAAACAGAAGATAAATCTATTTATGAACGTACACCCAAGAAGTCGCAGAAAACGTTCGAAGAACCACAAAAGTTCATTATTGGAAAAGGTGAAATAAAACAAGAAGATAAAATTATACCGGAAGAGATCAAACTAAAGAAAATACCGATAAAGAAACCAGATCAAGTAACAGAAAATAAAGAAACACCTAAAATAAAAGAATCCATAGATGATACACCACTGGAAAAAGAACAACAATCTAAAGAAACATTCACATCTGATGAATTCAAACCAATAAAATTTGATAAGCCAAAAATTGAAAAATATATATCTGAAGAATTCGAAATAACCAAGAAACCAGAAACTGAACCTGATTCGAAGTCATATAAACCATTTAAGAGAAAAAAACCTGAACAAGATAAGGAGCAAATTCCTTTAATAAAGGGTATACCAAAGCCACAGGAACCTGAAGAAGAACCCCAGATCAATTTTCGAATACCAACTTCAGAAAAACCAGAAGATGAACCTGAAACAATAACTTTAAAAGGCTGGACAAAAAATAAACCCGAAGAAGAAAGCATAGAAGAACAGCCAACTAAGGAAAAAGACATTATACCAACAACGCCCAAAGACATTATTGATGACGTTACAGTAAAACAGAAGAAAAAACAGAAAAAGATCAAAGAGAAAGAAATAAAATCACAGGACAGTAGTGAAGATACTATGTTAAAAAATATTCCTGAAGAAAAGCAAAAGATACCAACAGAAGAATTAATTATAAAAAGAAAGAAGTCAGAACCGAAAGAAAAGCAAAGTGAATTAGATATTTCTCAAGAAGTGTTACTAAAAACACCAAAGCAGTTTGTTGAAGACAAAATAGAAGCTGAAGTATCAATTACAAAACCGATTACCAAGGAGAAGAAAGAAGATGCCAAAGAAATCACTGAAGAAATTACAGTAAAGAAAAAACCAAAGAAAAAATCCATAACCGATGATCTTGCTGCTGAAATAACTGTAAAAGAACCCGGTGCAAAAGAAGAACAAATGCCGGAAGAAATCTTTGAAAAAATAGTACTAAAGAAACCAAAAGAAGAATCTGTCAAGGAAGAAGTCGCTAATGAAGTAACGATTGAAAAATTAATTACTGAAAAAAGAAAAGAAGAAATTGAGGAAGTTAGATTTAAAAAGAAACTAAAGGAAAAGCCCGTTACACAGGAATCTGCTGCAGAAATAATTGTAAAGAAACCCGTTCCAAAGGAGGAAGAGCAAGTACCGGAAGAAATCTCTGAAAAAGTAGTGCTAAAGGAATCAAAACAAGAAATTTCCAAAGAAGAAATCGCATATGAAATGACGATTAAGAAACCAGTTGACGAAGAAAGAAAAGAAGATGTAAAAGAAATCACCCAAGAAGTTACGTTGAAAAAGAAACCAAAGAAAAAGCCCGTTACAGAGGAACCTGCTGCTGAAATAACTGTAAAGAAACCCGTTTCAAAAGAGGAAGAGCAAATACCGGAAGAAATCTCTGAAAAAGTGGTACTAAAGAAACCAAAACAAGAAATTCTCAAGGTAGAAATCTCAGATAAAGTGACGATTAAGAAATCAGTTGTCGAAGAAAGACAAGAAGATGTAAAAGAAATCACCCAAGAAGTTACGTTGAAAAAGAAACCAAAGAAAAAACCCGTTACAGAGGAATCTGCTGCAGAAATAACTGTACAGAAACCCGTTCCAAAGGAGGAAGTGCAAGTGCCGGAAGAAATCTCTGAAAAAGTAGTGCTAAAGGAATCAAAACAAGAAATTCCCAAAGAAGAAATCGCAGATGAAATGACGATTAAGAAACCGGTTGTCGAAGAAAGAAAAGAAGATGTGAAAGAAATCACCGAAGAAGTTACGTTGAAAAAGAAATCAAAGAAAAAGCCCGTTACAGAGGAACATGCTGCTGAGATAACTGTAAAGAAGCACGTTTCAAAAGAGGTAGAGCAAATGCCAGAAGAAATTTCTGAAAAAGTTGTACTAAAGAAACCAAAACCAGAAATTCTCAAGGAAGAAATCGCAGATGAAATGACAATTAAGAAACCGGTTGTCGAAGAAAGAAAAGAAGATATGAAAGAAATCACCGAAGAAGTTACTTTGAAAAAGAAATCAAAGAAAAAGCCCGTTACAGAGGAACCTGCTGCAGAAATAAATGTAAAGAAACCCGTTCCAAAAGAGGAAGAGCAAATACCAGAAGAAATGTCTGAAAAAGTGGTACTAAAGAAACCAAAACAAGAAATTCTCAAGGAAGAAACCACAGATGAAGTGACAATTAAGAAACCGGTTGTCGAAGAAAGAAAAGAAGATGTGAAAGAAATCACCGAAGAAGTTACGTTGAAAAAGAAACCAAAGAAAAAGCCCATTACAGAGGAACTTGCTGCTGAAATAACTGTAAAGAAACCCGTTCCAAAGGAGGAAGAGCAAGTGCCGGAAGAAATCTCTGAAAAAGTAGTACTAAAGAAACCAAAACAAGAAATTCTCAAGGAAGAAATCGCAGATGAAGTGACAATTAAGAAACCGGTTGTCGAAGAAAGAATAGAAGATGTGAAAGAAATTACCGAAGAAGTTACGTTGAAAAAGAAACCAAAGAAAAAGCCCGTTACAGAGGAACTTGCTGCTGAAATAACTATAAAGAAACCCGTTCCAAAGGAGGAAGAGCAAGTGCCGGAAGAAATCTCTGAAAAAGTGGTACTAAAGAAACCAAAACAAGAAATTCTCAAGGAAGAAATCGCAGATGAAATGACGATTAAGAAACCGGTTGTCGAAGAAAGAAAAGAAGATGTAAAAGAAATCACCGAAGAAGTTACGTTAAAAAAGAAACCAAAGAAAAAACCCGTTACAAAGGAACCTGCTGCTGAAATAACTGTAAAGAAACCCGTTCCAAAAGAGGAAGAGCAAATACCGGAAGAAATCTCTGAAAAAGTGGTACTAAAGAAACCAAAACAAGAAATTCTCAAGGAAGAAATCACAGATGAAGTGACGATTAAAATACCAGTTGTCGAAGAAAGAAAAGAAGATGTAAAAGAAATCATCGAAGAAGTTACGTTGAAAAAGAAACCAAAGAAAAAGGCCGTTACAGAGGAACTTGCTGCTGAGGTAACTGTAAAGAAGCTCGTTTCAAAAGAGGTAGAGCAAATGCCGGAAGAAATTTCTGAAAAAGTTGTACTAAAGAAGCCAAAACAAGAAATTCTCAAGGAAGAAATCGTAGATGAAGTGACGATTAAGAAACTGGTTGGCGAAGAAAGAAAAGAAGATGTAAAAGAAGTCACCGAAGAAATTACGTTGAAAAAGAAATCTAAGAAAAAGCCCGTTACAGAGGAACCTGCTGCTGAAATAACTGTAAAGAAACCCGTTTCCAAAGAGAAAGAGCAAATGCCGGAAGAAATCTTTGAAAAAGTAATATTTAAAAAACCAAAAGAAAAATCTCTCAAAGAAGAAGTCGCCGACGAAGTGATAATTAAAAAACCAATTGTCGAAGAAAAAAAAGAAGATGTAGTTGAAGAAATTACTTTAAAACCTAAGTCAAGAAAGAAGATGTTCGAAACGGAAGAAATGTCGGAAGTAACCATTGTGAAATCTGTAAAAGATAAGAAAGTAGAAGAAGAAATTGCAGAAACATCTGCAGATATATTATTAAGGGAAAAAGAACCAGTACCAGAAATTAAAGATGTAATTACAGAGGAATTAACTATTCGGAAAATCGAGATTGTAGAACAACCTGAAGAAGTAATTGAAGAATTTACTTTGAAACGTAAACCACCGAAAAAAGCTCCGAAACCAATTGAAGAAATTTATGAAGATGTTACTTTACATAAATTACGACCAAAGAAAAAGTCTAGGCCGGATATCAGAGAAGTTACTAATGTTGAGAATGTAACATTTAGACCACGTTCTACAAAAAGAAAAGAAGATGTAGAACAAGAATTTAAAATCTCGTTAAATACATACGAAGAAGAAGATATTTCTATGTCTGGTAAAGTGCGTCTAAAACCAAAAAGACGTCCGCTTACATATTCTGAAGAGACTGGAGAGGAAACAATCAAAATCATTCAAGAAATCGAAAATTTTGGTCCGATTATCGAAGAGGTCATCAATGAATCGGAAGAAGAAGGGAAAGAAGAATATAGCATCGAAGAACTTGATATCGACGAAATGAATATACCGCTAAGACGAAAGAAAAAGAAACAAAAAGCTCCATATACTGTAGAAGAAATTGAAGATGATGTTAAATTGCAGTTGAATCGTGATAGAAAATACTCATACGAGGAAGCCGATACCGAATCTTTGGCGCTGAAGTTGAAAAGCAAGAAACGTATTTCCACATTCGAAGAAGGTTTGCAGATGGCACACATTCATGCTTTATTAGCACATCTACAATTAAATTAATAGAATATGCTTTCACTTATAATAATATAATTAATGTACTTTAATAATTATTTTAACCCTTGTGAGAATGAGTATATATGCTTTATTCTCGTGCTTCGCTTTTCCTTTCCTTCGCCTAATTGCTGTATTTTCTTTAAAAAATTTTTTTTGCCCATTATCCTCAAGTTTTTCGTATGGAAAGCTGCGTATGAAAAGCATATCGGTATTTACATATTTTAATTATATCTTTTAATACAATAACTAAAGATTTATTTATATAATTAATATAAAAAGATCCCATATTCAGATCGAAATAGTATAGACTCATGAGCAAACAGATTCTCTGCTTATATAAAAGCTGAATCCACCTAAAAAACTCTTCGCTATGTTATGATTGTACTATAATTATAAGTTTCGTTCATTTTATTTTGATATTTATTATTAATATATATATATATATATATATTGCAGAAGAAGCTTCTCTCAGTATTACTAAAGAAGAGGAAATATCCGAAGAAGGTTCGCTTTAATGATTCTATTTACGTTAATGTAAAATATAATATTTTTTGTTATATTCTATTTTAAATAACTTGTTAATGCCTTTCAGTCGAGAAACTTGAATATGTTGTTCGGGAAGGTGATACAATGTTTTCAATTTGTTCTTATATTGCTGAAACAGAAGAAGCTATTAATTTAGTAGAAGGGGAAAAAATTTATATTATTGGTAAGATCTGTACTCTTCATAAATTTTCTCACACACACACACACAC